GCTCCCTCTACTGCCGACCCGTCGTTGTTTCTGCGCACCGACACTTCTTTGCCGCCGTTCTACATCCTCGTGTACGTCGACGACTTGGTCTTTGCCACAGCGGACACTGCTGGACTCGCCTACGTGAAGTCCGAGCTGCAGAAGAGACACACGTGCACAGACCTGGGTGAACTGCGCAGCTACCTTGGCTTGCAGATCACTCGGGACAGAGCATGCCGCACCATTACCTTGACTCAATCACACATGGTGCAGCAGGTCCTTCAGCGCTTCGGCTTCACGTACTCCTCGCCTCAGGCCACTCCTCTGCCTACTCGCCACTCGCTCTCAGCTCTGCCTTTGGATGAGTCCGTAGAGTCGAATGGCCCGTACCCAGAGCTTGTTGGCTGCCTCATGTACCTGATGACCTGCACACGACCTGACCTTGCATACCCTCTTAGCATCTTGGCACGCTATGTTGCTCCTGGGAGACACCGACCAGAGCACATGGCTGCAGCGAAGAGGGTGTTGCGCTACTTGTGCAGTACGTCGGGCATGGGGCTAGTGCTTGGAGGGTGGAGTCCAGTGGTCCTCACTGGGCACGCGGACGCTTCTTGGGCTGACGACCAGGCTACTCAGCGGTCGTCGCAGGGTTACACCTTGAGTCTTGGTTCCGGCTCTGTTCTCGGCTCCAGTTGTGAGGCTGAGATCTACGCCGGGGCCATGGCTGCTCAGGAGCTTCGCTGGCTCACCTACCTGCTGACTGACCTTGGAGAGCCGCCTCGTTCTCCTCCAGTGCTGTACGTAGACAACAAGGCCATGCTGGCCTTGTGTCGAGAGCAGCGCCTGGAGCACAGAACGAAGCACATTGCTCTCCGCTACTTTCTTGCTCGTGAGCTGCAGCAGCGTGGTCAGTTGCGACTTGCGTACGTGGCCTCTGAGGCCAACACTGCTGATGTTTTCACCAAGGCACTTCCGCCTTGTGATCATCAGCGTTTCTGCACTCAGCTGGGACTTGTCCCTGTCTTGCCTCACTTGCTCACCTCTTGATCTTACTTGCACTCTTGCATATATATATACCTGCTCTTGCTTGTTTAGACTTATATATATATATGTCTCATCCTGCATGTGAACTGGCCTTGTGGCCTTGACCTTGTGCTCAGACTGTGTGGTGACGTTGTGATCCACCCTGAGCTTGCTTTGCTTTGCTTTGCTTGACTGGTCTTGTGACCCCTTGTTCTCCCCCACATTGCCTATGGGGGTGTGTTAGAACATTATAGCTTATGCTTTTGTGTAGGCTATAGTGGGGTATCCCATAGGTTGTACAACCCAATTAGGGTTAGTACTTGTACCCACTTCATTCCTAGTTCATTCATTCTCGTTCTCATTCTTCACAATGAGGTCGCCTTATTGGGAGATCGTAATATAAAACGATTAAGAGAGATATCTGGAGTAAAATATAAAAAGAAAATGATATAAATATAGAATATAGTATACCCGTCTGTGATATAAATCAATATATATCGAACTTGCTAAATACAAAACAACCCCCACTAACCCACTCATATGCGCTGCTCACAAAATGATATCCAGCTCCAGCACTCAGTCATCATCAAGCTCTCTCTCACATGAGAACACCTGAGGTTTTGTTTCGAGTGCAATTTGAGTGATCGAGCGAGAATTGCACTATGGAATCAAATAGTACAATGAGTGAACGCATGAGCGAAGAATATATAGCGAAACTACAGTGGTAATGGTAATGGACTGTGGTTGTCGTGCGAGGGTTGCGAGTGGTAACGGTGCTGATTGTGGTGCTACAGCGGTGTACGCGCTGAGCGGGGACGCAAAGTAAGGAAAAGGAATTTTCCTTACAAGTTTCAACAGATGCACAACGTGTCACAAAAGCCTTGCGTCTCAAACGAAGAGATACAGTGCGGTGGAAATGCTCGATTCTCAACTGTAATGCGGTGCATAACAGTATACAGGTTTTGTGACGGGATTGAGACACAAATGTCCATATGAGAATGTACCCTTAGAAATAGTTAGCTACACAAAACCTACTGTTGTCAATTAACCACATGTGATTCAAATGTTACTTTGCAAAGCATGATTACTGCCAAAGATCTAGAATAATTATTTTTGTGATGTAATCAATACACGACTGTGTGAGACATATTTCATTGTCGTGTAAAAATCACCAAAGAACATCGTAAAAATATAAGAGATTCATTGGGTTTACAATGTTGAAGCAATGAATTATGTGCATGTCAGAATATATCTGAAACTGCCTGTAATTGTAGCTACTGTAGTTATTATAAACATTGTTTGGTGGTGCGCCTTCTTTATTTCCTTTGCTATATGTTCTTCCAAACCTATAGTGAAGCCCTCATTCTCCTTCTCAACTCTCTCGATACTTTCCTTACCCTCGACATTCATCAAACCTAAAACTCAACTACGAAGACACTCCTTAACTATGGCTCCTAAGCTTAAGTCAAGCTAGACTTCAACATGGTATTCAGAGCAGGTACCTTCCTGCTGCCTTCTTGCTTCCGCTGCCTATCGTCCTGCCGCGCGCCTCGGGCGCGCGGCGCACGGCGATTTTCTGCCCGCCGTGTGCTCGGTGACAAAGTTTGAAGAAAGAGGAATGAACTAGCAGAAATGGGGATACAAATAGCAAACCCTAGAAGGGTTGTACTCGCTATAGAGCACCCCACTACAGGCTAGAACATAAGAATAATATTCTGACACACCCCCATAGCCAAAGTGGGGTGTAATCAGCAGAGCAGGCAAAGCAAAACAAGCTCAGGGTGGATCACAATGTCACCACACATTCTGAGCACAAGTTCAAGAAGAAATAGTTTAGAGTTCACAATTATAAGCAAAGCTAGTGGTAGTCACAACGGGCAAGTGAGGAGGAGGAGGGAGAGTGAGGGGAGAGGAGACAGGAGGCGACGGCTGAAGCTGCAGACACACGGGCAACAGGAGGCAGACTGGCACAGCGGCTACCGGACAGCGCCCGGACTACAGGAGTAACAGGCCCCGCGGCTCAAATAGCGGCGGACGGGCAACGGACCCACGGGCGGCTGGCACAGCTGGCTACGACTGGGCTACCGGGACAGCGCCCCGGACTACAGGTGCTACGGACGACAAGCCGGCAGCCTCCGCTCAACCTCCCGCAAACAGTCCCACCCCCCTGATACACACCCACTGCTACACCGCTAGCTCTACTCCCACGCACCCCCCTTAAACCCTAAACCCAGTCTCCCACACATCCACCCCCCTCAGCGACAGCTGCAGCAGTGGGAGACGAAGGAGGAGGAGGAGCAAAGGGAGGAAGGAAGACCGGCCACCCCCATACCCGCCACCCCACAGCGGCCCCCTCAGGTCGCCTCGACGGACGACGGGAAATGGCAGGGGGAGGGGGGGGGGGGGGGGGGGGGGGGGGGGGGGGGGAGGCGGGGTGGTGAAAGGGACCCACCACGGGCCTGGTTGGAGGGCGGGGCCGCGACGAGGGGCGGGGCCGCGAAGTAGGGCGGGGCCGCTTCGAGGGGCGGGGCCGCGACACAGGGCGGGGCCGCGACGTAGGGCAGGGCCGCGACGGTCGGGCGGGGCCGCGACGTAGGGCGGGGCCGTGACGGTCAGGGCGGGGCCGCGACGTAGGGCGGGGCCGCGACTGTAGGGCGGGGCCGCGACGGTCGGGGCGGGGCCGCGACGTAGGGCAGGGCCGCTTCGAGGGGCGGGGCTGCGACGCAGGGCGGGGCCGCGACGGTAGGGCAGACGCCCGCCGCGCGCCTCGGGGCGCACAGCGGGCAAAGAACCGCCGCGCGCCCCGGGGCGCACGGCGGGCAGAAAACCGCCGCGCGCCTCGGGGCGCACGGCGGGAAGGAAAGGTAGCAGCGGAAGCGAGGTGGAAACCCACCCACAGGATCGATCCAAGGGGATCGACCTGCTCTGATAGCATGACAAAGTTTGAAGAAAGAGGAATGAACTAGCAGAAATGGGGATACAAATAGCAAACCCTAGAAGGGTTGTACTCGCTATAGAGCACCCCACTACAGGCTAGAACATAAGAATAATATTCTGACACTCGGGGCGCACGGCGGTTTTCTGCCCGCCGTGCGCCCTGGGCGTGCGGCGGCTTCCTGCCCCGCGCGCGGCCTGCTCTCACGCCGCCTACGCGCCTGCCTCATGTCTAAGCGCGGGCCTGTTTTGCCCGCCCGTACCCTCCACTTCGCGACGCCCTGCGAGGCGCCGCTCCTGCTCGTCGCGACGCACCTGCGGGACCCGGGCGTCGCCGCTCCTGCTCGTCGCGACGCCCCTGCACGACCCGCACGGCGTCGCCTTGCTCGTCGTGACGCCACTGCGGGACCCGCGGGGCGTCGCCACAGCTCGTCGCGGCGCCCCCTGGACGCCGCCCCTGCTCGTCGCGGCGCCCTTGAGGCGTCGCCCCTACTCGTAGCGGCACCCCTTGGGCGTCGTTCCTACTCGTCGCGGCGCCCTCCCCCCTGGCCACCGCCTCTGCCTCACCTGCGCCCGCGCCAGCGTTGCAGCCGAGCGCGGGCCTACCTTGCACCAGCGCCGCCCCTGGACCAACAGGAGCAGCCCCTGGAGCCGCCGCCACTGCAGCGGCCGCCCCAGCAGCAGCAGCGCCTGGAGCAGCCGCCCCAGCAGCTGCAGCCCCTGGAGCCGCCGCCCCAACAGCAGCAGCCCCTGGAGCCGCCGCCACTGCAGCGGCCGCCCCAGCAGCAGCAGCGCCTGGAGCAGCCGCCCCAGCAACACCAGCCCCTGGAGCAGCCGCCCCTGGAGCCATCGCCCCAACAGCAGCAGCCCCTGGAGCCGCCGCCACTGTAGCGGCCGCCCCAGCAGCCGCCCCAGCAGCAGCCCACGGCGCCGACCCCACAGCAGTATGCACCGCCGCTCCTGGACTCGGTATGGCTGCCCGTGCCTGTGCTACCTGTTGCTGCCCGTGCCTGTGCTGCCTGTTGCCGCCCGTTGCTGCCCGTGCCTGTGCTGCCCGTTGCTGCCTATTGTTGCCTGTGCCTGTGCTGCCCGTTGCTGCCTGTTGCTGCCTGTGCCTGTGCTGCCTGTTGCTGCCCGTTGCTGCACGTGCCTGTGCTGCGTGTTGCCGCCCGTTGCTGCCTGTGCGTGTGCTGCCTGTTGCTGCCTGTTGCTGCCTGTTGCTGCCCGTGCCTGTGCTGCCTGTTGCCGCCCGTTGTTGCCCGTGCCTGTGCTGCCCGTTGCCGCCCGTTGCTGCCCGTGCCTGTGCTGCCCGTTGCTGCCCGTGCCTGTGCTGCCTGTTGCCGCCCGTTGCTGCCCGTGCATGTGCTGCCCGTTGCCGCCCGTTGCTGCCCGTGCCTGTGCTGCCCGTTGCCGCCTGTTGCTGCCCGTGCCTGCGCTGCCCGTTGCCGCCCGTTGCTGCCCGTGCTTGTGCTGCCCGTTGCTACCCGTGCCTGTGCTGCCTGTTGCCGCCCGTTGCTGCCCGTGCCTGTGCTGCCCGTTGCCGCCCGTTGCTGCCCGTGCCTGTGCTGCCCGTTGCCGCCTGTTGCCGCCTGTTGCTGCCCGTGCCTGTGCTGCCCGTTGCTGCCTGTTGCTGCCTGTGCCTGTGCTGCCTGTTGCTGCCTGTTGCTGCCCGTGCCTGTGCTGCCTGTTGCCGCCCGTTGCTGCCCGTGCCTGTGCTGCCCGTTGCCGCTCGTTGCTGCCCGTGCCTGTGCTGCCCGTTGCTGCCCGTGCCTGTGCTGCCTGTTGCCGCCCGTTGCTGCCCGTGCCTGTGCTGCCCGTGCCTGTGCTGCCTGTTGCCGCCCGTTGCTGCCCGTGCCTGTGCTGCCTGTTGCCGCCCGTTGCTGCCCGTGCCTGTGCTGCCCGTTGCCGCCCGTTGCTGCCCGCGCCCTTGTGCGCTCTGCTCTGCCTGCGCCCTCGTGCGCTCTGCTGCTGCCCGCGCCCTCGTGCGCCCTGCTGCTGCCCGCGCCCTTGTGCGCTCTGCTCTGCCTGCGCCCTCGTACGCTCTGTTCTGCTCTGTCGCCCCTGCCCCCCCCCCCCCCCCCCCCCCTTCTTCGTCTCCTTGCTGCGCGTGCAGCCGTGGAACGGAGGCTATGGGGGTGGCGGGTATGGGGGTGATGGGTGTGTGTGATCCCCTTCCCCTCCTCCTCCTTTCTCTCCCACTGCTGCAGCTGCCGTTGGGGGGGGGGGTGGGTGTGAGGGTGTGGGGGAGTTGGGGGAGAGGTGCTAGGGTTGTCAAGGAGTGTGGAAGGGGGAGTTGGAGGACTGAGGAAGGTTCCAGGAAGCAGCCACCTTGGAGCCAGCAGCTTCACCTGCCAGCAGCTTCTCCTCATATATTCCCTCCTCCTCACTTGCCCTCTCCTTCTACTGCGCTTGGTGTACCCCTTGAGGGGGTGTCTCTGCATTAGCTTCTGCTGCAGGCAGTTATGGGGGAGTGTCAGAATATATCTATAACTGCCTGTAGCTGTAGTTACTGTAGTTATTATAAACATTGTTTGGTGGTGCGCCTTCTTTATTTCCTTTGCTATATGTTCTTCCAAACCTATAGTGAAGCCCTCATTCTCCTTCTCATTTCTCTCGATACTTTCCTTTCATCAACCCTAAAACTCAACTACTAAGACAATCCTTAACTATGGCTCCTAAGCTTAAGTCAAGCTAGACTTCAACAGTGCTGGCATTTTTAAGTAGGTGTTTTACATAATTGTATTGGCTATTTACATATTTTAGCTTTACATTACTCGTCTAATCACACAATGTAGCTGTACATTATGATACGAACCACTCCTGAACAAACGTGAAGTGTTTTTGCCGGATATCCAAAATTTTCGGAAACCCGACGAACCACGCTACACCGAGATTTTTTCAGCACATTGAATGCCTGTGTTACTGTCTGTTTGCCCGAAAACATTCTCGTGACAACTCCAACCAAAATTTCGGTAACTGCGCGCGATCAGAATCAACTCGGAGTCCGTGGGCAATCAGAAAACATTCCCGCCAGCAAATTGCGGGAACCTGATGTCGTCGAACTGTCTGCCAACAAATTCCCGTCCAACACCCCTAGAGTTGCGATGACAAGCGCACCAACTGCCATTCGGCCCTCGAATCCGCTGTGCGCGTGCGCCGCAACTCGACGGCGGAGAATTTCAACATTCAGATGGTGGGTCTTGCCGGCCCCGGCACGCTCAAGGCGGTCGAGATCAGCGCGGACGGCAAGACGTGGGGGAAGCTGACGCGCGACGGCAGCAAAAGGGATTTGGGGAATCGCGGGCAAAGAGGCGAAGGAGGTTGTGGGCGCGAAGAAGGCGATGAGCGTTCGCCTCACTGCAAGATACACCCTCGAAAAGATCACTCTCGAAAAGGTCCTTCCCGCCGATTGGAAGCCCCAGACGCTCTACTCGTCCAAGACCAACCTCAAGAAGCTCATGGCCGAGGCTAAGTAAACGTTTATTCTGCACTCAAGGCGGTGAAGACTAATTGAGGCGCCCCCTCAAAAACCTCTGCGTTCGTCCAAGTCCAATTTCAAGAAGCTGATGGCTGAGAGCAAGTCTGGTGTGAAGAATATCTGAGGATTCGTCCAGTCAGGGCGAAGTGGGTTAGGGGGAAGGGGAGGGGATAGATTAGTGGGGGAGTGGGATTGAGGGAGGGGAGTGTGATGATGCAAAAGGGCTTTTGTTTGCATATGATTTTGAGGGTCAACAATTTGAGTTGCTTGAGTTCCAGACTCGTCCAAACTTCTCTGCTGTACAGAGTACAACAGAAAACAACAGAGTACGGGGTACCTTCGTTGTGATGCTACCATGCGACACCTATGCGACGCGACCATAGTGTAATACCGTAAGAAGATATTCTATATTTTCCAGAAACTACGAGCTTGATAAAGGTAGCAGATGGTAGGGGAGTGGGGCGGGAGGGGAATGGGTTAGCGAGGGAGTGTGCTTGGAACTGAAGAATTGCAACGTCCTTGTGAGGAACTAACGTAGTTATTTAGACATACTGGACTGTACTATCGAGTGCCAGGAACTTGGTTGGGCCTATAAAATCATTAAACAACGGGTATTTTTCAGTTGGCACTGATTCGTTAGAAAATGTTTTTTTTGCCTACCCTGAGTTGGCAGAAACCCTGAGGTAATATGATCAATAACAAAACTATTGCCGGCCCTTAGTGTTTTAATTTGGAACGCTCAAGTGTACCATATGTAGTTACATCACCTCATGCTTGCTGCTGGATGGTGCTGCTGCTTATGTTTGCTCTTCTCCAGACGACCAAAATGAGTTCGTCCGGCAGCACCGGAACTTGTATCGTAACTTGTGATGGAACATGGTTGCATTGCAATGCCATGCCTGACTGACTGACACAAAAGAGCGCAAACAGAAATGGCCAAGCTTAGAGAAACAGTATTTCCGGCAATTCCACCACTAGGACCACCACCGCCACAAGCCTCACCAGTAATTCCAATAATTCCATCAACTACAGAACCAGCACTGTCAGTGTTACGCCTGCTGGGGCTCCCACTATCCCTATTCCCATCCCAAACTGCTATTGCTGCTGCTGCCGGCACCGCCGCCGCCACCGCCACTGTTGCTGCGGCTGCTGCTGCAGGCACCATCAAAACCAGAATCACCTGCAATGGCATTTTGTGACACAGCAGTCACCTGGCCCCTCCTAACCCTCTCATTTCAGAACTGTTGCTGAAATGTTCTCACCAGGCCTCTCGTTATCAGGGTAAAATACCCTTTTTGCACTAATTGGCGGCCGCTTTTTTTCAGTACCCTTTCACAGGCAGGGTAGTGGGTTTTTTACCCTAGGCCAGAAAGGGTAAGTTTTTCAATACCCTTTGAAAAACAGCATAAGGAACACATTACTCTGACTGTACAGTGTACAATCCCAGCTATACTGGTACCGAGTGATCCGTAGCGAGACGAAACACTATACAGGTCCCTGCAAAACCATCTTATAAGTGAGACTTGAACTTGAAACCTTCCAAATCCAATGTGTAAGGGCGTATTTCGGGTTTGGGGCATGAGCACTGTTCAGGCACTGTACAGGGCATCCGCAACAACCGCATGACCCAAACCCAAGCACCAAAGCGCGCGCGACTCGAACTTCGGGTCATGCTCAACATTGCATGCGACCGTCAAACAAAAGGTGGAGCGCACCAATCACAGAGCTGCGCGACCCCATGTAGAGCAACCTCTGTAAATCGGCCGTTCGGCGCGATGTGCACGCCCGTCAATGTGGCGTGTACACCACACCCTTAGTAAAACAACTTAATCCTCGTAACAATCACAACATCCAGAAGCCAGACCAGCACACTACATGCAAAGACACACAAACCGCCCTGCTAACAAGCACAGCCACCACCACGCCCGTGTCGCCAGCTCCGCCAGCAAGGATGCAGGCAAGACACCGTACTGAACCATCTCTAAAGGGCCGCCAGGAAGCCAGTCGGCCAAAGCCGCTGTGGCCATAAAACATGCTTACCCCACAGGTACTCATTCTATGTGTAGCATTGCACCTCTGGCATGAGTACGTGCTCAACACCTGGCAGCGTGTAGTATCCCTCGCCGCACTAGAGTGGATAACCACTATCCTACCGATGGCCCAAGCCGAGGATGAGGAGCGCCAGCGACGTGCGACTGCGCGCCGCGAAAGCCGCCAGCGCCGTCGAGAGGCACGTGTGGCGGAGTGGGTGGAGGAAATTCGCGCTATGTTTGACGAGGAGTTCGAGGACACCTTCCGGATCACGCGGGAGGTGCTCGACCTCATCGCGGAGAAGATGGCGCACCCCATGTCCCGTTTCGTCGAGTACAACAACGTCCCGTTATCTCTCTGTTGCCTGATTCCCATCAAGTACTTTGCAAGTGCCATGACATATCACGACATGAGTTTCATGTTCGGTTTGCCCAAGGGTCTCATTCATCGCATTGTGGACTGCTTTTTGGTGTGGTTCCCCCGCAAGTTCAAGCGTGACTGGGTTCAATTCCCTTCTGAAGAGTTGCGTGAGGAGATGGCGCTGGACTTCCGCGCCATCAAGGGCGTGCCGAACGTCATTGGAGCAATCGACGGCACACAAATCGAGATACGCGGTCTGGATGCTCACCGCAGCGACTACTACAACCGCAAATCTGTATACAGTGTACAGCTACAGGTCACTTGTGACTCGAAAGGGATCATCTGGGACTACACAGTGGGCAACCCCGGGTCTATGCATGATCAAGGTGTTTTCTCTACCTCTGAGCTACATGGCAGGCTAGAGAGCGGCGAAATCGCCCCCTATCAGCTGGTTGGGGACGCGGCATATCCTCTGAAAAGCTACATGCTAACCCCCCTCCATGCTCCCCGCCGCCGCCTAATGAAGAAGTGGGAGAACACCTTCAACTACGTCCAATCGGCGACGCGGATGGTGGTTGAGCGCACGATCGGAGCACTCAAGGGTCGATGGAGGCTCTTCTCACGCCGGCACGAGAGCAAGCTCTGGCGCGTGTGTGGCGGGACCGCCTGCATCATCATCCTGCACAACATGCTGCAGGTGGTCAGCACCCCAAGGATGAGGACGTTCAATCCCCGCCGCTTCATTTGGGCGGGGCTACCAAATGGCTGGTGGACAAGAAGCGGCATGGATCGCTACCAATGGGAGAGCCTGGACAACCCGACTCTTACCGAGCTGCGCGTCAGGCGCCGCCACTTCGGCAAGCATATCCACAGGGCTTACCTTAGGCGTCGCCGAATGCCCAAGAGGCAGCGCTAAGGCGCTGGCTGCTCGCCCGCCTCATCTGACCCGGCCATGGTTGCGTCTCCTTCCTCCGCTGTCGGCGGCGGAGGTGGGGTGGTGGCTGGCGCATCTTGAGGAGCTTGCTGGGCGACCATCTGCAGGCGCAAGCCTGCCTGCAGCGCCGCCATGTTCATCGCGGCGACAAGGACCTGCGTTGAATCCTGGAGCTGGCGCACCACGTTCACGTTGGTGGAGTTGATCGCGTCGGTCACCAACCTAGCTGCCGCCATTGTCGCAGTATCCTGTACCCGCCGTCGTTTCGGTGGAGGGGTGATTGCCGTTTCTGTAGGGGTGGGAGTAGGGTGTGTCGGTCATAAGGCGGCCTTTCATGTCGTTGTTTGCCTGTACCTCCCTTGTCTGTCAATGTTTTGGAACATTGGAAACTTGACGTTTAAATGAGTGTGTTGTATAAGAGACACACTAAACCGCTCGAGTATTAGCACATTTGTCGCATTGGTAAGATATAACCTAAACAGTAGGCGCATACATGAAATCAGAGCACTGACCGATGTCTGGTGTTTGGCGGCTTGTTCCACGCTGTTGCGCCTGGGCCGGCGGAACCAAAGTCTCCCGGTCGTTGGAGCCGGGGACAGTTGCGTACGCCGCGACGTCAACGCTGGCGGCGCCACCGCCGTCCAAGGCGTGGGGCTTAGCTTTGGCCGAGTGTTTTTTCAAGTTGTACACGTACTCCCACCAGGGCTTCTTCTTCACGGCTTTGCCTCCGCTTGCCGATTCTCCCCGCTTCGTTTTGAAGTAAAGCTTCTCGAGGCGTTTCCACGCATTAGACATCTGCCCCTCGTCGCGGTTCCACCCCGGTTCCCCCTCGACGATGTGGGCGTGCAGCTTCCTCCAATACTGGCTGCCCTGCTTGCCCTGCATCGCTTTGAGATCGTCCTTCGTAGTCCACTTGGCGGCGGCGAGGGTCGTCAGCTCCGCATCTGACCACTTCCTCTTGTTGCTTGACGGTTTAGGTCGTTTCTCCTTCTTCGACGCTCGTGTGCTGCGATCGTCGCGACTCCCTTCGCCGTCGGACTCTCCCTCCTCGTCGTCCGTTGTGTCCTTGTCGTTACCGGAGTCGTCATCGCTTTCCGATTCCGAGACGATCTCCTCGAGGTCGTCATCGCTGACGTCGGTATCGGCGCCATCCTCGTAAGCAAGCCGTGACGCGCCGCTGGTGGATGCGGCCGCAGAGTCCCGTTTGGTCTTGGATATGCGTTTGATGGAGGGGGGCGACTTCCCCTGTTTCTTCTGCTCCTTTAACCACACGACGTAAGGAGGGTCCGCCATAGGCTCATCGTCGGATGCTGTCTCCTTTCCCTTGCTACGGGTGCTACGGCGTGGCGGCATGGCTGCACGTTCTGTGCTTGACAGATCTGGGTGATGAGGCTGTTGGTGTTCGTCGGTTGAAACTGTGTCATGCAGATCTGGAAGTTTGTTGCGCTTGTGTTTTTGTGGGATGCAACAACCCTGGTGTGGGAAGGACGCTGTTGGGATGGTGGGTTTGGCTGGGAATGTGGAGCCGCGCAGATCTGAATGTGACCTTTCCCGCCGGGAATTTTGACGGTGGCTGGGGTGGGGTCAGACGGACTCTCGGCTGATGGCTGTTCGTGGGGGTACATGTACGACTCGGCCGTATTGGCCGCGACGTGTGTTACCAGTATTTTGTTTGGCGCGGATTTTGGCGCCCAAACGAACTGTCGCATGGGGCGCATGCCTCGAGGTTGGTGTTGCGTGTTGTTCTGGGCATCCGCAAATGGCGCATGCCCGGAACAGTGCCCATGCCCCAAACCCGAAATACGCCCTAATTGAACCGGCTGAACTACTAGGCATTGATACTTAAGTGCTTTGGCACTTTAAATATTCATGATTTTTTTAAGAATACCCTGCACAAACAGATTAACAGTACTTTTACCCTGCATTTGTTAGGGAAACAAAAATTTTACCTTACGCATCAGGGTTGACTATACCTATAACCCTGATTACTAAGGGTGGCCCAAAACGAATCTGAAGCCCTGGTTCTCACCCCTGCCACTGCTGCCGCCGCTGCCGCCGCCGCCGCCGCTGCTGCTGCTCCTGCCACCATCGAAACCAGAATCACCTGCCATGGCATTGAGTGACACAGCAGTCACCTGGCCCCTCCCAACCCTCTCATTTCAGCACTGTTGCTGAAATGTACTCACCCCTGCCGCTGCTGCCACTGCTGCTCCCACCATCAAAACCAGAATCACCTGCCATGGCATTGAGTGACACAGCATCACCTGGCTCCTCCTAGCTCTCTCATTTCAACACTGTTGCTGAAATGTTCTCGCCCCTGCTGCTGTTGCTGCTGCTGCTGCTGCTGCTGCTGCTGCTGCTTTCACCACCTACCACCACGGCCCACCAGAACCACCTGCTCCAGAACCACCTTCCCCAGCAGCATTACCTGCACGAGTACCAGCCTCCCCCTCGACCTCACTGAAGTTATCTCTTTGTTTTCCTGGCGATTGCATTGAAGGAACAGCCTCCGCCGGATGCTCCACCAATGCTGCTGCTGCTGCTGCTTCCACCACCAGACCCACCGCCCCCAGCACCACCTGCACCAGCACCACCTACTTACCTGACCTCCCTTATCACTGTCAATGTTATCTACTCCCCTCACCACCACTGCTCCCAGGACCACTGCTGCTGCTTCCACCACCAGCACCACCGCCCCCAGCACCACCGCCCCCAGCACCACCATCCCCAGCACCACCGCCCCCAGCACCACCGTCCCCAGCACCACCGTCCCCAGCAGCAACACGTGCCCCAGCAGCAGCCTCCCCCACCTTGTTGAAGTCTTTTTTTTGTGTTCTGCATTTGCGGAAATACAGGGACGAGCGCATTAGAGGCATTGCCTCCCCTGGATGCTCCTTCCGCCCATCACTGCCCATGTCATCAGCTGCTCTCACCACCACCGATGCTGCTACTTCCACCACCAGACCCACCTCCCCCAGCAACACCTGTCCCAGCAGCACAAGCACCACCGCCCCGAGTACCAGCCCCCCATCCCCCCCCTGAAGTCCTCTCTTAGTAGTCTGTACTTGCCGAAAGTTGATTTTTGAGGCGCCTAAAAAAATCCCCCCCCCCCCTTAAGTCCTCTCTTAGTATTCTGTACTTGCTGAAATACAGCGACGAGCGCATCAAGGGAACGACCTCCCCTGGGTGTTCCTCCCTCCCTCCTATAACTCTCGGTGTTATCAACTGCTCTCACTAACACTGCTGCTGCTTCCACCACCAGCACCACCTGAACCAGGAGCACCAGAACCGCCCCCAGAACCACCGCCCCCAGCACCAGCCTCCCCCTCCTCGCTGAAGTCCTCTCTTCGTATTCTGTACTTGCCGAAATACAGCGATGAACGCATCAGAGGCACGGCCTCCCCTGGGTGTTCCTCCCAATATGCCTCCTGAAACGGGAGAGGGAAAGGTTATTGTCTGCCAGTTAATTGAATGGGAAAAAAAAAAAAAAAACAGAGGTACACCAGCAAACACCCGTAATCCGTGTGTTTGTGACAATTCTGAAGAACTCACTGCTTTTCCCCAGATGTCTCTTTTTTCTTACCTTGTATCGTTGTTCTGTGATAGCCGCGAGTGTAATCCCCGTATAGAATCCCGCGGCATTCGCTATAAGAATCGGCAGTAGCGGCTCGGGAGGCGCGAACCGCAGTAGCCGATCGAATAGCATGCGGGAGACACGTGTCGGCATCGGCGTACGCGGGGAGAACAAGCCCTCGTACACGTCAGCAGGCGACATGGCTGACGTGGCCTTCGCGGAATTCGCGGCGCGCTGTGCAGGACTCCATAAAGCCCGTAATCTACGGAACATCGCTTCCTACGCCACGTGCACACAACTCAAACGATCCAATACCGTGGGTACGAAAAAGCTTCTGTAGAGAACGAAGGAAACCAAGGAAACGTCCTTTTAGACGTGAACAGAAACTGTTATTGGAAGCGGCTGGATGGCCATTAGCTAGAAGTGCCGATCAATTCGGCCGCCACTGATATAGGCCAAGCTGAGGTGCCTCCAGTACCGCGGATCTCCCAAGCCTAGTGCTCACGCAAAGAAAATACATGCGAGTTTAGACATGCTACTGCACCGAAGGATCACTACTACCAGTTTGGTTTAGTACGTTGGTTTGTTGGTTTGGATAGCCGCTTGTTCAATGAGGTCGCAAGCCGTCGTACACCCCAGGACCGCCATGGATTCTACCTTGAGCGCTTCGGAAGGCCCAATGTCCACTGAATCCTTACCTGATGGGGCTTTAACACGGTTCTCCGGATTCCTTGCATCGAGATGGATAAGTGACATAACAAATTGTGTTCATACAGCGAACATGTTTAAGGCTTATCAAACTCCAGTGGATCCCGAGGCTGTAAACTCCCAAGGAACTTTTTTCAGTGCTCACTGGAGTTTCCCTAAGAGCAACACGCAACGAGAATCCCAAGACTCAGTACTTCGGTTTTCTCACAATGAAGACATTACCAAGGACAATACTCCGATGGACCACCCAACATATAAGTGGTTTCCTATTATTATCAAGCAACCAGATCACACTTGTCAGCAAGCAGAAGCTACAATCATGCCGCCAAAGTCACGTGCTAAGAAGGCCAACGCCAAGGTTGCTGCTCGTAAGCAGCCGTTCAGTGCACCTGTCACGCCAAGGAGGGCTGATGGAGCTCTAAGCAACGACAATGCTGCTGATACGCCGATAACGGGCCCTGTTCATGTGGATCGCCCAGAGTCTTCGTCAATAGCCGCTGCCAGGCTGTCTGCACTGAAAGGGAAGGGACACGCGGAAGAAACAGTCAACAAACAAGAGAGTCTTCGTAAGCCGGAGATGCCTGAGTCAATGTCGCCGGGTGCTGAGGCTGACATGGAGTTCCCTGAAGAGGAAGAAGACGTAGACGCTGATGGATCTGGTTATCTCAGTGACGACTCGGATGAAGGAGCTGACCCTGTCATGGCTGGTCTTGTTGCTGCGCATATCTGTTATACGCTAACCTTGCTGATCCCAGATAAGCACATTGAGGAGGTTCCTCGTACCATGGAATCGGTCATGGCGCACCTGGTCCACTGGAAGAAGGAACTCTCTGCTGATGCGCCTGCAACAAAGAAGTTTCAGAAACTCCAGCCGACTTACCTGTCGAAGGAGCGCTTTGTTCGTGTTCAAGTCACCTTCGTCCATGAGAAGGATGCTGCTTTTGTCTGGAAGCGTGCTGTTGCTCATGACTGCCTTAACGGTACCTCCCTGAAGTTGACATGGCAGTTTCCAGAGAATGCGGATTATGTGCGCGCTCGCTCCCTCCACCCGAACGCCTTTGAAGTGGTGCTGAAGGGGGTCCCGGCAGAGCTGACTCCGGAGCGAATCCGCAAGTTCCTGGTGATGGTGTGGTTGGTGAAGAGGGGGAAGACACCGATTAAGGAAGGTTATGGTTTCCACCGCGTGCAAGATCCGGTGTCAGGGATGGACACAGACAAGATTCGTGGCCTTCTCATCCAGCACGAAAACGATCTCTACCGCTGGCGTCACTTCATCGTTGACCCTGCTATGAATGGGAAGAAGCTGCTGCTGCACTTCCCCTCGCTCAACTGTGACTACTGCAACGGCCATCACATGACACGCTACCACGACGACTACGTCACTGACCGTCAGGCCAACATTGTTAAATGGAACCTTACGGTTAAACGTATTCATGAAGTTAACGGTACTCCAGCTCTCTCGCCATGCACTGACTGTCTCGCCTTTTTCACCACGCATGATACTGACCCCCCTCCCTCTCCCACTCCTCGCAGCGGCCTCGCTAAAAGTCACAGATTCACTAAAAGTGACTCTGCTCGACCCGGCCATTGTTCTCACTTCAACTGGCGGATCACGCGAAGATTGGATCTGTGTCATAGATGCCTGCGGCAAGGCACACGGCAACAGTCTCGAGCTTGCAGCCGCTCATGTCGCCTCTGTTCGCCACACAACCAACCTGACCATGGCGGGTGCAGCTACGCGCAACAGCAGGGGAGCGATCAATGTCGCAGCCCTCCGAAAGGAGTTCCTCAAGGGTCCTGCCAAGGAGTAAGGGGGAAGTTACCCGTGGAAGAGAACATACTGGAGGACAGCCTTCAGAAGTATCATGAAGTGATTATATGCGGAGCTGTGATTAGTATCTCGGTAGCATCTGCTGTGCTGTGCGGCTTAGTGCTTATAACAAGAGTTCTGGATCGGTGGATCGCTGTAACACTAACATCGAGAGCTGTGAAGCGGATCTCAACGCTGGTAACTTCTACCCCGTGGATGCGAAGGGGGTCTCACCAGTGGGTCAATGAATAAACGGCAAGAACTCTGCATCACCGCGCTCAATGTGAATGGGATAGGAAGAGCGGTGAAAAGGGAGAACCTGCACGACTGGCTCAGGAAATCAAAAGGAGTGGTTGTACTCACAGACACGAGACTTCAGGCAGATCACAATTTCTGGACCCAGATTAAGGCAGAAGCAGCTGCAGTAGTGGACCCAGGTGGTGCAGCAGGCGGGGTTGCGGTGCTAAGTTTCAACAGCGAGGTTAACTTTGGTGGTGTCCAACGGCACGCATCAGGACGTCTGTTAGCAGTATCGCTGAGCTGGAGGGAACTGTCATGGACCTTGGTAGCAGTGTACCTTCCTGCGCAAGCAACATCCAGAGGGAGTTTTTTCAGGGACTGCTTAGCCCCGTTTGTAGACTCATTAACGCATGTGGGACATGTGCTCCTTACAGGAGATCTCAACATTGTGGCCGACCCCATCATGGACAAGACGTCGAGGCAAGGCTCGGATGCGGAAAACAGGAGGCTCCTGCACATATGCTCTAAGTGGGACTTACGTGATGTTTTCCGGACGCTGTACCCATCGCGACTGGAATACACCTTCTTAGCAAGGCCAACGTTGTCAAGCTCCCGCATAGATCGCGCTCTGGCATCGACCTCCATGCTTCCGCTGGTAGCTGATGCTTATCACTCGGCATCGCCGCCGGACGTCACGGACCACTGGTTTGGCATCACCACAGTACTGACCGCGCAGACAGGAGAGGCGCAGGGCCCGGGGCTATGGAGGATGCATGCGGATCAGACGAAACACCCAGGGGTACGGAACACCATCCGGCAGGTGCTGTCGGAGCAAGGTGGGACCGGCAAGCCAGACCTGCACTCCACACTCGCAGGGCTGCAGGCCAGCCTCAAAGCTCACGCAAGGGAGGAAAGAAAGAGGATTGGAAAGACAATAGCACATTTGGAGGATAGGGTGGCAGCACTGCGACAAAAGTTTATGGCGGACTCGAGTCAAGGAGGGAAATATGCGGAGCTGACCAAGTACGAGGCACAACTCAAGGCGTACCGCGATAGCCAGCGGAGGCGGAAGCAAACAATGGCAGGGATTGGTGCGGAGATGAACGGCGAAATCGCGAACAAATTCCTAACTCAGAGGATTGCTTCGCGAAAGGCGAAAACGGCGATCAAGGAGATTGTACATGACGGCAAAAAATACGAAGGGGAGAGGGAGGTCTTGACAGCGGCATCCGACTTCTACGCCAAACTTTTTGGAGCAAAACAGCAGGTGGCGGAGTTGGAAGAGTGGCCGATGGACCCAATGAAAACACTGAGCGCGGAAGCAAGGCAGGAGCAGGAGGAGAAGGAGGTTAGACGGGCGATGCGAGAACTGCCAAGGGGGAAAGCGCCAGGGGCAGACGGCCTGCCGAAGGAACTGCTTGAAGACAACTGGGACCTGCTGGGGGAGTCGGTAATGGAGTTCATGAGAGGCTTTGAAAAAACAGCGGAGCTGCCAAGGAGCGCGTCAACGGCAGTGACAATCCTGTTGCACAAAAAAGGGGAGAGGACGGATCTGGGGAATTACAGGCCCATCACCCTGCTAAATGCGACGTACAAGATCGCGGCGAAACTGCTTGCGAACAGGATGAAGGGGGTGCTATCTCTGGTCATCTCGGAGAATCAATTCGGCTTCGTCTCGGGCAGGCGGTTGGCGGATGCTGTTAAAGTAGTAGCGGACACTATTGACGCAGCAGTGACAGGAAAAGAGGACTGGTACTTACTGCTTGTAGACTTTCAAAAAGCCTACGATTCGGTGTTGCGAGCCTTCATGTTTCGCACCCTGGAGCGTATGGGCTTTCCGAAGGCCTTTGTGGAATGGACCAAGGGACTGCATGACCACGCGGCGACGCAACTGCTGGTCAATGGATGGCTGGGTGAGCGGGTGGAGGTTGAGTCGGGAGTGCGGCAAGGATGCCCACTCGCACCGTATCTCTTCATCTGCGCAGCAGAGCCGCTAAGTCAGGAAGCGGAACGACGGAGACTAGGATTACGAAAGAGGGGGAAAGGTGGCTTGGCATACCTTGGGTATGCGGACGACACAACGCTCCTGCTCCGTGGGAAGGAGCAGCTCAAGAAGGCGCAGAGCCTCTTGGAGGACTTCAGTGACAGATCCGGATTGCACGTTAACCGAGGGAAATCCACGGTGATGCCACTGGGTAGGAACAGGATGGGCAAGCCACCTGCAGATGTGCACTACAACTGGGCGGAGAGGGGGACACCAGAGAGATTACTCGGCATCTGGATAACAACAGATGGGAGAGCGGAGCCTACTTGGGAAAAAGCCCTGGTCAGGGTGAACGTCATACTTACCAATTGGGAGAAACTTCACGTTACAACGACGGCGAGGGTGACGGTGCTGAACACCTATGTGATGCCAGTGGTGCTTTTCCAAGCACAGGTGTATCAGCCGCCGAAGCAGATATGGAAAAAGATACTGAAGCTGTGCCGCAACTTTATCTCGAAGGGATGTGCAGACGAGGAGAAACACTTCATCCTTTGGAGTGAACTGCTCGCGCACATGGGGAGAAAGGAGGGAGGTTTGGGGGTTATTAGCCCAACGGAGAGGGTGAGCAGCCAAGCGCTGTGGAATCTGGGAGCGGCGTTGTTAGAAGGGAACCCGATGAAACAGTGGCTGCAAGGCAGAGCGGCAAATATGCCACTGGGCTGGGCGACATTGCTGGCACACAAGGCAATACTAGCGGAATGGACGTGTGGGAGCGGGCGCTGGAAATCACTTACACCACTCGTGTGGGACAAGCAGCTGCCGGAGCTGCCGGAACCTGCAAACCGCTGGGAGATGGCGCGGGAGCAGCTCTGGTTCAGCCGCTGGATACACTACCAGGGGAACAGCCCTTTTGGCAGGCAGAAAGGCTCAGAATGCCTGAGGGGGTTGACGGTGGGGGACCTGCTTCAGGAAAGCTACGCGGGGGAGTGGAGTGTCAAAGACATTTGGACGCTGACAAAGCAAACTGGGAGGTCGGCCACTGCGAGATGGGCACTCAGGGCCTGGGAAGCAGTACCGGACAATTGGAAAGCGAAACTTCTGGAGAGAATCTAGCCCGAAGCAATTGCGAAAACCTCCACGGTGGTTCAACTGGGCAGCGGGGTGGAGGGGAATCGGTGCTATTTCCAAGTAGGTCTGTCGGAGGCCAAGGAGTTGTGCTGCGAAGCGGTATCTGTGGACAGCGAGGGAAAAGTAAAAAATATGGGAAGGAGCGCCCAGACGCCGGCGAGACTAAGCGTGCTAACCCCGATGGTGGTTAGGGACGGCCGGGTACTAGGTCAAGTGGGCGACCCTCTTACGCGACTGCGTGATTCGTACCTATGTGACGGGAAGAAGCCTACGGCGCAGAAAAAACTGAGGCATCTGCTTAGGAGGCCAACCACGCAACCGAAGCAGCAGAAGAAGTGGGAAGAGACGTGGGGGAAGAAGATTGACTGGGGGAGAGTCATTTCGAAGAGAGACTCCCTGGCGGTCCCAGCGAAGGCACGAGAGATCCTACTGAGGCTGCACAGCAACAACCTACAAGTGGGGAGTAGGGTTGCCTTTCTTGGACCACATGCATGCTGCCCATACTGCGGTCAGGAAGAAACACCAACACACTGCCTGATGAAGTGCCCGGTTGTTAGCGGGGTGTGTGGCGCGCTTCAGGACTCACTCCGCTTGATCAATCCGGGGAGGCCAACGGGGACACTGGAAGAGCTACTATTCGCTGAAGACAGCACGTCGTCCGGTTTTCCAGAAACCACTCTCATCGCGGTCACTTTCAGACACATCTGGCTGGAGCGATGTGATGCAGTGTTTCGGAAAACGTCTTTCGAACCTAAACGGGTGGTTGGGAGGATTGGAGCCAACTTCATGCGGCACGTTTGGATCTACAGCGAAGGGCTGCGCATTACTGGTAACCCGAGGAAAGATAAGGGCAATGGGAGGTGGCAACACCTGCCATTGGAGGAAGAGAAGGCCCTGGAAAGAGTTTGCGGAAGTGGAGAGATGATGACGTGGAGCGAGGAGTTCAAGTCCATCTGGGAGAGACCTAGTACTTTTTTCAAGCCACCGTAGGGTGGCACAGGGGGACCAGGGTAGGCCAAGTTAGGTCTGCCTGTGCTCCTCCTGCCCTCACCAGTTACGACTGTGGGTGTATGCATTGAATAGTGTAATACATCCCTAAAAAAAAAAAAAAAAATGCTACTGCACCGAAGGTTACCACGAAATCTACCATACGGTTCGTTTTGAGACGAGCTTTAGCAGCAGGGACCCTACCTTGTTCAGTGAGTTTGAGATTTCAGCAGGCGTTTCCATTTCACAGGCGTGTCGAATGTATTTCGATTCCAAAACGTTTCTCATCCCAACCAGGTTTCAGGTATTTCCGTGACTTATGACGATACAGTTCGATTCGTGTCGAGGATCTGAACCTTGAATCCGCAGAAACGTTAGGAGCACGCTCTTCCACTTATGTTTTATCGGGAATATCAGACCATTCTGGAAAACACTAGCTAGGAACCGCGATTCCGCCATAGTCGTCGGGCTTATGCTTGGTTTATCCTCGTCGCACTTTTTCGCGATCGAATTACACGATCGACGTTGAGAATCTCTGGTAATTGGTAGCGTTGCAACGCCTTCTTTTCCGATCGACGGCAGTCATAAAGCCGTAGGCACACACACGCTGTGAAGCCCCGTACGAGGCCAGCATTTTAGTCGCTAAGGTTGATCGTACACACACATCGTTGTCGCCCACGATGGGAGGCGGATTAATCGCCGTCGATCAGCGAGCATCGGACGGCGGACCGGTGCTGGAGCTAGGGGAGGGGGGCGAAGCGGGGGAGGTTCTTCTGCACTCCCAGCCTGACGTGGGATTGGTGCTTGGCGAATCTGACGTGGACGAATCAGGGAACCTGTACATTACATCCAAGTGAGACTGCTGATTCGTCATTCCATCTCCTCTCCCCTGTCATTTCTCCTCTTCCTGTCGTTCCCCCTTGTTTTCCTGTCATTTCCACGTCATTTTTATCCGTGTTTGCGGCATTCCTCACGAACCTCTCCTGGCTTGTCAGTCACCCTGGTAGATCTGACGTGGCTGGCCTTATTCGTCCCGTTCTCCCTCCTTCTACACCCTTCTTTCCCCCTTCCTTCGTCTCCTCCCTTTCCTTTCTCATTCATCTCCCAGGCGAGTGATCTGGCACCCCTCGCACACCCCTCATGGCATTGCAGTCAGCCTGGTAGATCTGAGCGTGGGTTACCACATGTGTTCCCTTGTTCCCTTCCCCTCTGCTTCTATCCCCCACTGCTTCTCTACCCTTGTTCCCGTCTTTCCCCTTCATCTCCCAGGCGAGTGGTATGGCACACCACAAACACCCCACACGGCATCGCAGTCAGCCTGCTAGATTTGAGCATGCACAGCCTAACCTGTTCCCCTCCTCCCTTCTTCACTTTCGTTCTCTCATTCCTTTCTTCCCTTCTTCTCCTCTCTTCCTTCCTCCTCCCTTCTGCCCCCATCCTCCTCCCAGGCGTGTCATATGGCACTCCACACACACCCCGCATGGCATCGCAGTCAGCCTGGTAGATCTGAGCATGCACGCCATTTCCAGGGACCTCGAAGCATATCCCAAGCCCTGCATCTACACGCAGGTGCGTATTCATGGAAGCATGTTGCTGGGGGGAGGATCACCCCCATCTTCTAGTCATCCTGCATGCACGCCTGGGGAGAACACCGTCTGTCACTCCATCTCAGTGCGCCACCTATATTGGTGCGACTTTTGAGAATTCTCATAAGGCGCCACAGTCAGCCTGGTAGATTTGAGCATGCACGCCATCTCCAGGGACCTCGAGGGGTACCCCAAGACCTGCATCTACACGCAGGTAAGTGCTTTCTTCAACTGGTGTGAATACAGTCATCCCATCTAAGTGCCAGGTGGTCAGCCTGGTAGATCTGAGCATGCATGCGATTTCTAGGGACCTCGAGGCATAACCCAAGCCCTGCTTCGACACGCAGGTGGGTGGGAGACAGAGAGAGAGCTTGTTGGTCATGGATGCCATGGGTGAAAGCACCCCCATTCTCCAGTCATCCTGCATGTTCGCCATGTGTGAGTGCGGTCTGGCCATGTGAGTGCTGCCGGCAGTCGAACAGGTGGATCTGAGCATGCACGCCGTCCCCTGCCCTGCATATACACACAGGTGGGTAAGGGTAAGGGCTTGACAGGATACTATTTTTTAGTCGACTCAAAAATGGGTGGGATGGATCACCCTCAAGAGCCAGGCGGTCAGCCTGGTAAATCTGAGCATGCATGTTGGAATCACTTTTGAAATCTCTCAAAAGTGATCCCGTGAATCTGAGCGTGCATGCCGTTTCCAAAGACAATGTTGAAGTATTAAGAACATTAAACCCCGTACCCTGACCCGAATACTAGATGCTTACTCCCAGGCTGCAGCCCCTATACTACACCCATAAACCACAAACCCCGGCAGGTGACGGGAAAGACGAGGAAGAAGGTGAGAACAAGTGTGTTTTGAGCCGTCTCATCCAACCCCCCTCCATCCAATTCCTTCTCATCATCCCTCTCGTCCTTCAGGTTGACACTGGTGACTGGGAGGACGAGGAGGACGAGGATGAAGAGGAGGAAGAGGGAGAAGGAGAAGAGGGAGAAGGGGAGGGGGAGGGAGCAAGAGGAGCAGGGGCAGCAGCACAACCGAACCATGTAGCAGGATCAGAGGGAGAGGCAGGGGGGAGAGGAGAGGGCGGGGATGAGGAGATGAGGGAGGCGGAAGGAGAGGCGAGAGTAAGTGATGTGCCTGCTGCTGCTGCTGCTGCTGCTGCTGTTGCTGCGGTGGGCAACGGGAGTGTGGCAAACGTGTTTGAGCACCTGTCGCTTATTTCTGAAATGAGGCTTGTTCCGAGAGACGAAGCTGCGTGTGAGTGCTGCTTCCCTCCCTTTCTATCTCTTTCCTGTTCCCAGTTACGCTTGGTTATCCTACTTTTCTGTTTGTGTCGAGAATGAGGGCTGTTTTGACAGACAGAGTTGCTTGTGAGTAGCTGCTTACTCTCCTTCCACCTTGTTTTTCATGTACTTGAATTCTCCTATTTGCTTGCTGAAACTGATGCTTCCAAGACATGAAGTTGCTGGTATATCGCACTTCCCTCTCTTCCATGGTTGCGTTTCTCTCCCCGCTCCCCCCCCCCCTTCCTCCCCGTACCCTACCGTGGATGCTATTTTCAAAGCTCTGTGCGACAGTGCGGCACTGAATTCCTCGCCTTCCTTCTTGATCTGATTCTCATTGTTGCCTCACTCTTCTCCTCCTCCCCCTTCCCACTGCTCCCCCCCCCCTTCCTCCCCTTACCCTACAGTGGATGCCATTTTCAAGGCTCTCTGCGACAGTGCTGCACTGAATCCCGACCCAGAAGGAGGTGAGGAGAGAGAGAGCATGGGTTGCCCTAAACCAGCTCACACTGGCCTAGCAAGACGACGTTTGATGCGCCTCAACTCAAAGCATGGGTTGCCCTAAACCAGCACACACCGGCCTAGCCTAGACAATTCTAATGGTAAGTCGTTACAGTAGATTCCAGCATGAACGGTTTACCATTCAGAATTGTCTTAAGGTAACTCCAACAATGAAGAATGCAATATATTCAGGCATGAAACGCTCAACGAGGGGTTGCGGGCTGCTTGCTAACCATTTCTGTCAAAATGGCATCTAAAGGGTTTGATGATTTGCTATGTGATCTGATTTTCTTGTAATTTAATTCTCTCGTCAGATTGTTGCGTGCTTCCCTTGTTAAACTTTTGAGTGTTTTCTTGAAATATTGTGTGCTTGTTGTTGTGTATGGATGTGGTATGCCCCTGTAATGTGACGTCTCTGTGTTGCGTTCCCTGCAGCGGAGCAAGAGGGGGAGGGCGACTGGTACTATAACGAGGATGAAGTGTTGAGCAACGCACGAGTGGTGAGGAGACGGAGGGATAGAGGGAGGGAGAAGGACAGAGGGGTGGAGGGTAGGAGAGTGGGGAGGGGGAGACATGCATTACCATGTCATGTGGTAACCCTTATGCCTGTTATGTCACCACATTCCCGCATCACCATGTCACCATATCGCCATGTCACCATGTCACCATGTCACCATATCGCCAAGTCACCATATGGCCATGTCATCATTTCACTATATCGCCATGTCCCCGTTTCACCACATCACCATGTCACTTTGTTTCCCGGCAGCTGTTACCTGAGGGAGATCCGGACGAGGAGAGAGCGGAGAAAGCACCATATTTCCCTGTCACCATGACACCTATCTTGCCATGTCACCCTATCTCCCGGCAGGTGTTACCTGAGGGAGATCCGGACCAGTTTGAAGATGCAGATGAGGACGAGGAAGAGGAGGACGAGGGAGCAGGTGCTGCTGCTGGGTCATAGGCTCATGGCCATGTGATGTGACGGCACGCCATGGCATGCAATGGCAAGGCATTGCACCGCATGGCATGGCACGGCATGGCATGGGAGTACGGTACCAGTTTGAAGATGCAGATGAGGACGAGGAAGAAGAGGAGGGAGCGGGTGCTGCTGCTGGGTCATAGACTCGTGGGCATGTGATGGCATGGTGTGATGCGGTGATGGCACACTGCCATGTCAGCACATCCACCGGCAGGTGGTATCTGAGGGAGATCCGGACCAGTTTGAGGATGATGAAGACGAGGAAGAAGAGGAAGCAGGTACTGCTGCTGGGTCATAGGCTCATAACCATTTGATGTGATGGCACGGCATGGCATGGCATGGCATGGCATGGCACGGCATGGCATGGCATGGCATGGCACGGCATGGCATGGCATGGCATGGCACGGCATGGGAGTGTGGTACCATTTCAACAAGCTGTGGAGGATACGTGCGTTGGCGGGGTGATGCCGATCAACAATTACGGAGAAATGGAGAAGAGGGAGATTTTGTGTTTACGCTAGGTGCCTCTAAATGCAATGGCAAAGAGGGAGTAGGTGATGCTGATGGTTCACTCATGCTCATGTGCATGCCATGGCATGATGATATACAGACTTATACAAGAGCATTGTTGAAGCATGGTGCTGCTGATGTACTGGTCTGGTCGTCAAAGCCTGGTTCATTGTAGAAAATCACAGAGATTTAACCATGAAGTGTTGAGCCTCTTGTCAATGCTGGCAGGATTTAGTCATGCAGGAGGATGGAGTCCGCAGGCTAACAGATGTTCACGATCTGTAATACCAGTAGTTGAATGTTATCCACTACCAAAACAGTATGGTTCCGTTACAAGAAACCTAAGCTGCCAAACATTTCAATAAAAAGAGCCACTATATTTCTAGGGTGGTTTGTCAAAACCCTAGATTCTTTATCCATACGTGTAACACTTCGCAACAAGTGTAGCGCTTAGCTGCCGAGGGCAAGCATGAACTCGCCCTCGCACACGAGATCACCACCCACGTACGCCTTGCCTGCCAGCTTGGCGATTCCGAACCGCTTCTGGTACTTGGTGAGGGTCATGCGCATGACGAGCGTGTCACCGGGGGTGACGGGCTTGCGCCAACGGACCTGAACACAGAGGGATAAGTGGGGGGGACACGGGGGCCTTACTTAGCAAGGGTCATGCGCATGACGAGCGTGTCACCGGGGGTGACGGGCTTGCGCCAACGGACCTGAACACAGAGGGATAAGTGGGGGGGACACGGGGGCCTTACTTAGCAAGGGTCATGCGCATGACGAGCGTGTCACCGGGGGTGACGGGCTTGCGCCAACGGACCTGAACACAGAGGGATAAGTGGGGGGGACACGGGGGCCTTACTTAGCAAGGGTCATGCGCATCACGAGCGTGTCACTGGGGGTGACGGGCTTGCGCCAACGAACCTGCACGGCTTTGGAGGGGTGGGAATGGCGAAATCAGGAAATAACAGGAGTCAGGAAATGTACTGTCCTGGTCAAACTGCTTCTAATACCTGGTGAGCGTCATGCGCATCACGAGCGTGTCACCGGGGGTGACGGGCTTGCGCCAAAGGACCTGCAGAGAGCAGAGGGAGAGGGCAGAGGAAGATGTGGGAACCAGAGGGGTTTTAACTTCCCCTTGTGCTTCTGGTACTGGGTGAGGGTCATGCGCATCACCAGGGTGTCACCAGGGGTGACGGGCTTGCGCCAACAGACCTGCACGGGTTGGGTTGGGTTGGGAGCGGTGGGAATAAGAAAGAGCGGGGAGTGTGCTGCCTCAGTCAGGCTGCTTCTGGTACTTGTGAGTGTCATGCGCATCACCAGGGTATCACCGGGGGTCACTGAATGCGCCAACGGAACTGCAGAGAGCGTAGTGAGGGGGAACACAAAGGTGAGGGTTGGTGAGGGTCATGCGCATGACCAGGGTGTCACTTGGGGTGACAGGCTTCCACCAACAGACCTGCAGAGGGCAGAGGGAGAGGAGAACCAGAGAGGAACAGGAGAAGACTTTTGAGGCGCCTCAAATCTTGCGCCAGCGAACCTACAGAGGGCAAAGGGAGAGGAGAAACAGAGCGGAACAGAGGAGGGAGGAAGGGTAGTACTGGAAGTGGAAGGGAGTACTGGAAGGGAGTACTGGAAGGGTGGAAGGGAGGAAGGGATAGAAGAGGAGAACCAGAGTGGAACAGGAGGATAGAGAGGGGAGAGGAGAGGAGAGGCGAGGCGAAGGGAGAGCGGAGAAAGGAGGAGAGGAGGTGAGAGATTACAGTTATGTGTTCGAGTTGTATTCATGTGCTACTGATGTCCTCACATGATACTGAATCTCAGTATATACCCAATTCTTTCTCCTCTATTCCAGAGTCTGGAACCCTTTTTTCATCACCACGCACGGAACCATCCTGAATCGCCCTGAACCACCCTCAACCACCCTGAACCACCGAAAAACTCACCCCGTCGACGCCAGCAAAGAAGAAGGCGTCTCTCTTGCCGCCAAAGTCGTCAGTGAGCATCACGATGCCTCCTAGCTGCGCCATGGCCTGTTCAGCCGTGGATAGAAACACGCACAAGCGCAGCAGGGTGGGAGTGCAATGACACAAGGGTGGATGGGTGGGTGAGTGGGTGGGTGGGGGTGAGAGTGCATGAAGGTCGCCTGTGAGTCGACTGGGAAGTCACTCCAAAGCCGTCCGTGAGGCATCACGATGTCGCCTAGTCGTGCCATGACCTGCAGCGACAGATGGTGCCACGCCGTGGAACGGGCTGATGGTGTAACAGGCTGGGGAGCGTACCTCCACCATGCGAACGCCCGGCAATATGGGACGCTCGGGGAAATAGCCGGAGAAGAATTTGTACAGGGAGCGAGAAGAGAGTGTCGAGGGAGCGAGAGTGTAGTGAGATATAGGGGGCGACCACAAGGGCAGGTAAGGGCAGGGAACGTACCTCGACCATGAGCACCCCCGGCATGATGGGGCGCTCGGGGAAGTGGCCGGGGAAGAAGTTGTCGTTGACGGTGACGTTCTTGATGCCCACCGCCGTCACTCCCGGCTGGTACTCGATCACTCGGTCCACCAGCAGGAAGGGGTATCTGATGGGAACGGTGGGGAGTTGTAGAGATGGTCGGACGAGAAAGACAAGTATCCGTTGATGTGTGTCTGTGACAACAAGCACATGAACTGGTCGGCACCACCTGGCCGGCACCGCCTGGCCGGCACCGCCTGGCCGGCACCACATGAACGAGCACTATATGCACGGTTTGAGCCTCCCCTATGCGGCAGAGGCTTCTTGATCTTGTTAAAATCCAACACGGCAAGGGCGTTGACGAAGGCTGCAGAACGGTAACATGTGCAACTGAGCGACAGAGCATATGCGACAGCACCTGTGCGACACATATGCGACATCACCATGCGACACCACCTGTGCGCGTTGAGCCTCACCTGTGAGGCAGCAGCTCCTTGATCTTGTTGATGTCCAACACGGCAGGGGCGTTGACGAAGGCTGCAGAACGGTATATACGTGCAACGTGAAGGGGGAAGGAGAGAAGGGTACGAGGCTAGAGAGTCTGAGAGACGGAAAAGGGAAATGAGAGTCGAAGATGTGTGTGGGTAGGGATAGCATACATAAAAAATGCGCGGCAGTGGAACCAAGAGGAGGAGAGGAGGGACAGCGTTGCAGCAGGGATAGGAATGCAAAGGGCCTGTGCGGGGTCAGGATGATAGAGGACCTGTGACTCACACTTCTCAATGGGAATCGCCTCAGCCTCTGTGGCAGTCGCCGTCGCAGCCGCTCCATCTCCGTCGCATCGAATCGCTGCGGCGAGAGGGCGACGTGCGACGGCCTTGTGCGACGCATTCGTCGCGAGCGACATCCCAGAGAAGCTGGAAACCAGAGGCCTGGCGGTGGCAGAAGCAGCGGCCGTGCGAGCCGGCACGGATGCGAAGGCTGCTGCCTGCATCGACACGTCAGCAAGAGTGGCTGCCATGTTTCGGAGCTTTCAACGTCCGAGAGGTGCTAATATGCTGGTGATGCAGGGTAATCTGCAGATGCGGCTGCAAAGCCGAAAAAAAACAGCACCGGAAAGAAGATGAGAACCAGGCAGAGTAGCGGTAAGGAAATAGGTAGCAGCCAAAGCTGGATCGATGAAATGGCGGGGTACAAAAATGGGATCTGACTGAGACAATTGCTAGAGGTTGCCTTCTCAAGCCATGAAAATGAATTCAGAGGTTGACATGGGAGGTTGCGACTCGGGGCTGTTCAGGTCCTACATTACAAAGCGTAATCGCACTCAGTACATCTAGGTCTCGTGTGATGGTGTCACTGCCTGGACGCTTACACATCGAGAGAGTTGAGACTCGGAGCTGAAATCGGTCAAAGGACGCGCCCTATGTGACACGTCCCTCGACCTTCAAAACTGTGGAGGTTTTTCTTTGTGCTCATTGGCTGCGGGGTTTTGCATGTTGATACCAGGGCGATGCTGACGTGACAGGATGAGCTCGAGAAAGATTGACGGAATAGGTGGCGAAAAGACGGAGTACCCAACCATTGACAGGGAGTCAGGGAAAGATACGTGACGTGGTTCCGCGCCACGCTGTCCTACACACGCTCCTGAATTTGCCGAGATCGACCTCTCGTAAGTGATGTGCGAGTGTAAAATGCTTGGATTGGTCAGATCTGACGGGGATAAAACGCGGTAAAAGATCTTTCGATAGGAGGTATCAGCCAGCAGCGAAGTTCGTGTTAGCGATAATATTCTTTATTGTTGTGATAACGAGATGGCTCACAGCGAGTCGGAATACCACCTCCTTTTAGGACGTGGTTTGGGACTGCCAGGTTCACAAGCTATAGCATGTCTGACATGCCATATCTGTGTTGGGTGGCACGAGAAAATTAACAGTTTCACCAGTATATCTCGCATCATTGCCGCTAGTTTTTTTTTTTCTCCGCTGGCCTTAGTGTGTCGCCTTCTCACATCTGTTATCGTTGGCTTCTCAGGTGCCTGTGCGAGCGCGCTGACCTCGTTATTTGTCCAGGATCATACGCGTTACACAGTCAAAAGCTCCACGTTTGCACCCAGACATGTCGCATCCAGGATTGTTACAACCAGGGTTACATCCAACGTTACAACCCGCGTTACAACCACCTTCACAGCCAGTCATGTTCGACGCGCGCAGACTAGCAACGGCAGTGCCAGAGGACATAGTGTTCTGCATAGACACCGACATAGAGGCGGCGCGGGACTTAAAGCCATCCAGCAGCGCAGCCGCCGCTACAGCCGCTACAGCCGGCGAAGGGGTGGGAGCAGACGGAGCAGGAGCGGGATCAATCGCTCAACAAGCAACAGAAACAGCAGCAGGGACAGGAGGAGGAGCAGCAGCAGTAGCAGGACCACCAGGAGCAACAGCAGCATCGTTGACGAGACTAGATGCGATACGGCAGGCTCTGCTGCTGTTCATGCACTCGAAACTCGCCATGAACCCCTCGCACAGGTGAGTCTGTCGCACGGGTGTTGTTCTGATTCTGGTTTTCCATACCCGAACGACCCCAGCGTCAGCGGCAACACCAGCGTCAGCAGCAGCACCAGCGTCAGCAGCAGCAGCAGCGTCAGCACCAGCACCAGCAGCATCGTTGACGAGAGTAAATGCGAGCTCTGCTGCTGTTCACGCACTCGAAACTCGCCATGAACCCCTCGCACAGGTGAATCTGTCGCACAGGTGAATCTGTCGCACAGGTGAATTCTTAGCACACAGATGCTGCTACGTTTAACCCATACGCTTCTTTGTTTGACTCGACTCGAAGCTCGTCGTTGCTGCTGTGCTTGCACGCACTCCAAACTCACCATGAACCCCTCGCACAGGTGCCCTTTTGGCCCATGGGAATTCTGGGAATTTCGAATCTAAATCAATTCTGGTGATAATAGTGATTTTTAATGAATATATGTATACATAAACACACTCACACACGCACACACACACGCACACACACACACACACACACACACACACACACACACACACTATGCACCCCTTTTTCTCTCCCCTCCTTTCTCCCCAACAGGTTCGCCCTGGCTGCACTCAAGGGCAGCACAGCAGCAGCAGCACCCGCCTCCCCTGCTTCCTCCCCACGGCAACCACAATTCTCCTGGGTAAGACTTTGTGTGGAAACACGTGTGCCAGTTTCGGGCGCCCTTCACGCAGGCAGCTGCTTCCCCTGGCTGGCTCCACCTCCTCCCGCTCCACCTCCCTTGAGGTGACTTTTGGGTCGCCCTCTTGCTGTGAAAACAGGTTTGCCCACTTCAGACGCCTTTCACACAGGGAGCTGCTCCCCCTAGCTCGACCTCCTCCCGCTCCGCCTTCCCTGCTTCCTCCCCGTGGCAATCACAACTCTCCTGGGTACACTCTTGCTGTGAAAACATGTTTGCCAGTTTCAGACGCCCACCACACAGGGAGCTGCTCCCCCTGGCTCTGTCGTAACCTCACCCTCTGCTCCTCTCTTGCGCTCGTGCTGCCCTTCCTTGCCCTCTCTTGCGCTCGTGCTGCCCTTCCTTGCCCTCTCTTTCCCTTTCTTGTCTCATCTCCCCTTTTCTGCTCTCTGCCTTCCCCATCCCTAGTCCCAGGTTGCATCTCTTCCTCTTATCTCCCTTCAGTGCCCATGCATGAAGTCAGAATGAAAGGAACAAACAAGAAAAAAGCGAGTAGAATGTTTGGACTCCCTTTAGATCTATCCTCGCTACTCCTAGAGTGGCCCTCTAGCTCCTGGTGCGCGAAGAACCCTCTTCGGCGCACTTCCAAGGTGCTAGCTGGCTACCTACGAGCTAACTTTTGAGTCGACTCAAAAGTCAACTACTTCCAAGGTGCTAGCTGGCTACCTACGAGCTAACTTTTGTGTCGACTCAAAAGTCAACTACTTCCAAGGTGCTAGCTGGCTACCTACGAGCTAACTTTTGAGTCGACTCAAAAGTCAACTACTTCCAAGGTGCTAGCTTGCTACCTACGAGCTAGCTGGGATCCAGCTTCCCCACCGCCATCCAACTTTGCATCGCATGCATTGAGTTTCTCCTCCCAATTCCCTCGGAGCACCACTTTGTGGTGGGAGACATTACGAGGCAGCGGTTTCTTGCAGAGCAAAAATAGGTTCAGAGAGATTTCAGGTGTGAAAACCTGGTTGTAGAATGGTTTCTTGTGTAAATCAAATGGTGGTAACTAGTTTCGGCGTAGTCGCCTTCGTCAGACCACAAGAAAGAAATGAGCCTCCCGAGGTTTATATACACCCCAGGCTGACTCGGCTACCCTACAGTAACCTGAATCAGGCTCAAAAATGAAATTCTACAGTAAAACTAACTTCAGCACTTACGAGCAGAAACTAAAAAGCTTCCAACTCTCTTAGGCAATTTCCATGCCAAGATAGCCCTCCGTCCTGTAAAAATGTCGCGTGACATTATATCCAGGTGACTTTTGAGTCGACTCAAAAGTCATCAAGATTCAGGCTATTAACGACGTCAAGAAGCATTTTCTGAAGTATCGTACGCTGATGCAGCAATACCAGTTTATGGTTGACCAGAAGAATAGCGGTATTATTCCGCACAGCATCCGCATCAAACCGTTTGCTTTCCATGCCAAGATCGCTCCTTGGGTCTGACGACACCAAACACTGCGAAGGCCGGTTTCGAAATCAAAGCAAGGTTTACAACAACAATGAAGAGAACTCTTCCCAAGGAAACTAATTCCAAGGCGACTCGACAGTCTACAAAAAGGCAGTCACTCATCAAGGAACAACATCAACTCCTCATTTCGGAACCAGAGGATCCTATTGAATCCTCTCCAGTTCAGCCTAGCAAGAAGCGGCTCTGCCAGATCGCAGACTCTCCTGCTACTTTACCCCAAGTCGACCCGATGGCTACTCGTCAACCGGTTACGAAGCGTGTTGAAGCTCCTAACCCTGTTGAAGGAGATTTTGCTGCTGCAATGGCTCCTGAAGATGATGTGACGGTGACTTTGGATGATGACATCGAAATGACGGATTCCTTCGATTTCCTGGGAGAAGTATCTGATTCCTTTTTGGAAAAGCAAACGACACCTTCTTGCCTTAACGCTTCCCCACCGCCATCCAGCTTTGCATCGCATGCATTGGGTTTCTCCTCCCAATTCCCTCGCGCCTTGAGCACACCAACCCCCTCGAAATCTGGCCACCAACTCCCTCCCAAAACGAAATAGCAAGAACAGTATTTTACAGTGCACAGTGAAACGAAAACAGATAAAAGCAAACACCACAAACTTACCCTTGCTGCTGCTCTACTTCAGCTGTGGTTCGAGGCCACGCTCAATAGTGCGACAGCTCGCCCGCCTCCTGCTCCGCCTCCTGCTCCGCCTCCCTTGAGGTGACTTTTGATGCGACCCAAAAGTCCACCTCCTCCTCCCTTGTCCTGATTCATCCATCAGGTGGTCGAGCATGTCACCAATGACATGAGTTCGCTCAACCACCTGATGGGGTTGACATGAGTTCGCTCCTCTCTCCCAACTCTGCTCTTCTGGTCTTCCCTCTGCTTTCCCCCCCCCCGTTCCTCCCAAAAACCCCCGTGCGCCTTGTCCTTCCGGCCTCCCATCAGGTGGTCGAGCATTTCACCAATGACTGACATGAGCTCTCTCGTCACTCCGCTCTCTGCTCTCCCCTACTTCACTCCATGTCTCTGCTTTATTGCTTCTCCCGTCCTCCATTCTTTTCTCTCTTTTTGGATTCATCCATCAGGTGATCGAGCATGTCACCAATGACATGAGATCCCTCACCGGCCCCCCCTTCATCCCCTCACCACCGCTCACCACCGCTTTCTCTCCCTCCGCACCCATTCCCCCCTGTCCTTCCGGCCTCCCATCAGGTGGTCGAGCATGTCACCAATGACATGAGTTCGCTCTTCTCTCCCAACTCTGCTGTGACGTTCGTCTCTCTGTTCTCTCTGCTTTCCCAATCTTTCCTCCCTATCAACCCCTCTGCTCCTCGCTTTCCCCGCCTCCCATCAGGTGGTCGAGCATTTCACCAATGACATGAGCTCTCTCCTCACCGGCGTCCAATCACTGCACACCACGTCAGCCTACTCCTCTGTTGACCTCTCCCCACTCTTCCGCGCCCTCGCGTCAGAGTCGCAGCGCTCAGCTGATCGTGGCCGTTCATTGCGCCTGGTAAGATCCTTACTATTACTGCCTTACATAAATCTTTTTTTTTTTTTTTTGCTGTGTTTTGATGCGCCTCAGAACTTACAAAGACCCTCTTTTCCTCCCCGCCCTCCAAATCCTTTTCTACTGCCATTCTTCTTGCATCCCCAGTCCACGCCCCACCACGCCCCACGCCCCGCCGTCCCTTTCACTGCCGACTGTCCCAACAATTTCAACTGCATTCACAATTCCTCCCCTTCCCTCTCCCTACCCTCCAGATTCTCTTCTTCTGCCGGTCCTCTTGCATCCCCGGCCCTCCTCCCAACCGCTCCCCTCACCCCGCCGTCCCATTCACTGCCTTCTGCATCTACTGCATTGGCATGTCGTGTACCAAAATATATATTTCTTCCTCTACCCTCCGCGCGCCCCCTCGCCCCTCTCCATTTCACCCTCCAGATTCTCTTCTACTGCCGCTCCTCGTGCATCCCCGGCCCTCCTCCCAACCGCGCCCCTCGCCCTGCCGTCCCCTTCACTGCCGACTGTATCTACTGGCACGACTGCCCCAACACATGGAATCATGTTTACTTCCCGGCTCCCCCCTTTCCATCCACTTCCTGTCCCTCTTCCCACCTTCCAGATTCTCTTCTACTGCCGTTCTTCTTGCATCCCCGGCCCTCCTCCCAACCGCGCCCCTCGCCCTGCCGTCCCCTTCACTGCCGACTGTATCTACTGGCACGACCGCCCCAACACATGGAATCATGTTTACTTCCCGGCTCCCCCTTTTCCATCCACTTCCTGTCCCTCTTCCCACCTTCCAGATTCTCTTTTACTGCCGTTCTTCTTGCATCCCCGGCCCTCCTCCCAACCGCGCCCCTCGCCCTGCCGTCCCCTTCACTGCCGACTGCATCTACTGGCACGACCGCCCCAACAATTTCAACTGCCCGCAAGAAGTTTTCGACGGGCTGACCGCTGCCCTGGAAGCAGTTTCCGTGCCCGAGCCATACATCTGGGAGAACAGCAGCAACTCTGCCCGGTATATCTTCCGAGCGACATCCTCGTTATTAGCGCACCCAGCACAGCGACAAGCCGACGACTACCTATCCATGCCCCGGGTTCTGGACTCAGGGCCCAGAAACGCCCCGCTGGGAGAGGGCTCTGTTTCAGGTGTACCTGGTGCAGGTGCATCTGGGGCAGGTTTAACTGGTTCAGGGGCACCTAACACAGGGTATTACTCTGGAGGTGCGGGTGGGTTGGAAGCGGTTTATGATGGCAATGGGGAAGAGAAGGGTGAGAGGGTTGAGAGGGGAGGGAAAGGAGAGAAAGGGGAGAAGGGTGAGAAGGAGAGGTCATCTGGAGGCTCGTTATGGAGCCGGCTCGGACAGGGGAAGAAAGATGCTCAACGTGACGTGCAGTGATGTTGGTGCTACGCCTCTGATCTGTTTTGCCTGTATATCTGTAACAAGACCAGTTTTCCTGCCAATAATGTGCATCACGAGTTTGAAATAGGTGTTGAGCGTAGCATTCCTTAAATGATCCTGAACTAGGGTGCGCGCGCACACGTGCCTGTCAGAAGAATTGTACATGATAGGTCAATCCCAAACGTCCCATGCCATTTCTTCACCCCTTTGGTAAGAGGGTGATGAAGTTCCGAGGAGGAGGGTTATAAACCCCTTCACCTTGTGACCCGCACTTTCAACTCACACACACAATGGCTGATCCTTGTCAGTTTTGATTCCCAATAGGCAAACGCTTATCTCTTACTCCTCTTCTGCACCTGCTCCTCCCTCTCCACCACTCTGCACACCTCCACATCCACCCCATCGCCCTGCAGTGCCTTAAGCCAAGCAGTCTGCTGGCACGATAGCTGGTCCCTCGGCCCTTTCACCTCCACCAGTTTCACCTCCCCCAGTAGATCTCCCCTTTCCCCATTCAGCCCCTCCCCCCAATTCCCTCTTTCCCTTTTCAACAACCCCAATAAAACCTCTCTTGGCCCATTCACCTCCCCCCAGTGATGTCCTCTCAGGGCGTTCCACTCACGAAGCTCCCTCCGAGCATTGGCGCAAAGCTGACGTTCGGCCGAGCTTCTCCGCCAGAGCACCAGGTCCGGCATGCCGCCCCTCCAAGTATTGTAGCTTTCTGCCAGCCGCTCGCAGATGGCGGCTACAGTAACGCAGCCGGCACATAGGACAATTTCTGTGAGCTCTGAGAGCCTTATGGAACGCTGGTCAGTGTTGCTGCCGCTGCTGCTGCTTCTGCTGCTGCTGACACCAGGTGCGTTCGGGACAGTTTCTGCATCAACAGAAGGCGCTGCAGCAGCAGTAGCAATGCCAACTGTTGCAGAATCAGCAGCCACAGTAGCAGCAGCAGCAGCAGCAGCAGCAGCAGCAGCAGCAGCAGCAGCAGCAGCAGCAGCAGCAGCAGCAGGAGCAGCAGGAGCAGCTGTCCCCTCTTCATTCAAAAGCCCCAGGCCGACAGACAGAGTGCCGTGGTGCTCCTGCCATCTCTCCCTCAGCAGCTTCACTGTAAACAGTGTGCCGCCCACAGCACACGCACCGAAATTAGAAGCTGCAGGACAAGCACCGAGTATGCTGCTCGCAGGAGTGCCGCCCACAAGAGTGCCGTCCACAGGACAAGCACCATCATTCAGAAAACCTTCCTCATAACCACCCACTCCTCCATCTCCACCCTCTCCTCCCTCTCCTCCCTCCCCTCCCTCTCCTCCCTCCCCTCCCTCTCCTCCCTCCCCTCCCTCTCCTCCCTCCCCTCCCTCTCCTCCCTCCCCTCCCACTCCTCTCTCTCCCATGCACTCCCCTCTGCACCGTCCCCCTAGCAGCTCCTCCAAGCGAGCTTGAATGAGAGGGCGGCGGGAGGATGCAAACGATGGGGAACCCATGTCCAGAGGGGCAGTCTGGCAGGAAAACGGGAGGGTGGGGAGAGGGAAGAGGGATGTGTGGAGTGGAAATGGAGGGGGGAAATGGTCGACATCATAATTCGACGGCTTCAATTTTTGTAGACTGGAAATTCCATGAGCAGAATATCAGCAAACGCCATTGACTTGCAACACTTCCCAGGCGAGTCTTCAATCTGAACCAGATTGGAATGTGTCGCTGCCTTGTGTCCGCACCAACGTTCGAAACACAGTCTTTGATTGAAAAAGAATAAACTTATCCAAACTGTCGCAAAAGCATTCTGCTGCAACTGACCCGAGAATGTCCCTCTGCATCTGTTCCAAAGCCATCTTGAGACACATATGCTGCCAGACCGAAAGGTCTCGTGTTCGAATCCTGGCGTGCACCATAATCAATCCGCGAGGTACCCAACTCCAGTTGTGCTATGCAGCATCACTCATGGCACCATGTCCTTCTAAAAAGGCATAACTGACAGTGCACCCCCTTCCATACAACTCATAGGGTAGCCCACAAGTACTTCAGAGCATGTAATTGAGACGACAGAGGCCCATTTTGGCACCGCACACACACCTGAAAAGGATGGTGGAAGGCGCCAGGCACAGGGACAAAGATGACATCCCAGAAGAGCAGAACGAAGAGCAGCAGAGGAAAGGGGATGACCCACCAAAACCCCTCACCATGCACCCCCTGCCTCGAGGCACATAGCATAGGAGTATTCACACACCTGGAAGGGGTGATGAAAGGCGTCAGGCACAGGGGCGAAGATGACATCCCAGAAGAGCAGAACGAACAGGGTCGACCAGAGGGACCCCTCGCAGTGCATGCCCTTCCACCCGCCCCCCTCCTCGCTGGCGTAGTGCTGCAGTGCTAGCTCCTCTACGCTGCATTGCTCGTCCCACCATGCACTGAGCGATCCCTCCTCGGAATCGACTCTCGATTCTTCTCCAGGATTCTGGGAAGCTCGGCATGTGACGGTAATGGGAGGGCGTGTGACTGTGACGGGAGCCATGCTGTAGAAGCGGCTTTTGGTGCCCACCTCACTGTTCACTGGACGCCCCACAATGCGCACCTGAGGGGGACGAGGCGAGGGGAGGAGAGAGGTGAGACAAGAGGAGAGGACATGGGTGAGAGGGCAGCCATGCTGTAGAAGCGGCTTTTGGCGCCCACCTCACTGTTCACTGGACGCCCCACAATGCGCACCTGAGGGGGACGAGGTGAGGGGAGGAGAGAGGTGAGACAAGAGGAGAGGACATGGGTGAGAGGGCAGCCATGCTGTAGAAGCGGCTTTTGGCGCCCACCTCACTGTTCACTGGACGCCCCACAATGCGCACCTGCGTGGTGACAGGAGGTGAGGAGAGGAGAGAGGTGGAACGAGAGGAGGAGAGGACAGGTGAGGGAGGGGTGCGTGCTGTAGAAGCAGCTTTTAGAGCCCACCTCGCTGTTCAGTGGACGCTCCATGATGCGCACCTGCGTGGTGACAGGAGGTGAGGAAGCAGAGGAGACAGGAGGAGGAGAGGACAGGAGAGAGGGGGGTGCATGCAGAGAAGAGGTTTGGAATACCCACCTCAGTGTTCAGTGGACGTCCCATGATGCGTGCCTGATGGTGGTGCGAGGCACGGAGGCAAGGAGTCAAGGGGGCGGAGGAGAGGACAAGGGTCCCCACTCACTGGACAAGAGTGGAGGGGGTAAGCGCTCATGCTCCACTCGCTCATGCTCCACTCACTCAGGCTCCACTCGCTCATGCTCCACTCACTCAGGCTCCACTCGCTCATGCTCCACTCACTCATGCTCCACTCGCTCATGCTCCACTCACTCATGCTCCACTCACTCATGCTCCACTCACCTCCTTGCATCGCCATGCCACCGACCACACGTAGCTCGGCTGGCTCCAAATAAAGCGGGGCTTCGCCAGCCGCACCACCCGCCAAGTAGAGTGTTAACTCTGATAAGCCTGCTATTGTCTTACCTCTCTTGTTTCACTCACCTCTCTGCATCGCCATGCCACCGACCACACATAACTCGGCCGCTTCCAGCTTATCGGGGGCTTCGCCAGCCGCACCGCCCACTTGATAGAAGAATGTAAATCGTGTGAATTGCTTTTCAACGCACCTCCTTGCATCGCCATGCCACCGACCACACATAGCTCGGCCGCTTCCAACTGATTGGCGGCTTTGCCAGCCGCACCACACGCCGCTGCAGCGCCAGCAAATCCCCTGCTGCCACGTGTCTGTCCCCAGTGCATTCTGCAACTCCCGTCCTAGCAGCCTCTAAGCTCTCCTTTACGAGACCCAGGTGGTGCAGGTCGGTGGAGAGGCGGAGGAAGAAGGTGCCTAGGCGGGCCCTGGGGGCTAAGGGCGAGGCGACTAGCAGCCTCAGATCTGATACTGCCTGGTTGTACCTGGAGTGGGGGGAAGGGTGGAATGGGGTGGGGTTGGTTGCGATGGGTTGGGGTGCAGTGGGGTGGTGGCAAGGCGGGCCCTGGGGGCGAAGGGCGAGGAGACAAGCAGCCTCAGATCTGATACTGCCTGGTTGTACCTGGAGTGGGGGGGGAGGGGAGAGGGTAGGGCGGGGTGGGGCCGAGACAGACAGACGAGTAGCCTTGTGACACAATCGAATCGTGGCCAAAGGACTCTAGAAGCCAAGGTCCACACCTTAAGGCCCAGGAACCGCCTGAAATGCTGCATCCAAAAGTGCGAGTTGCCCCTTGTTCTTTTCCAGCCACCCCACGCCTCCCCACAGCACCTCCCCGTACACGCGCTGCGCTGTGAACTGACAGCTGCACACTGCTGCTCTCTTCTTCCACATACCCGCATAATAAATGTTTTTTGTGACGTCTCAAGAAAAGCTTACCGCTTCTGCTTCTCCAGCCACCCCACGCCTTGCCACAGCACCTCCGCGTACAGCCAAGTCGACACCACAAAGCTATGTAAATTTTACTTTTGAGAATTCTCAAAAGTAAAATCCGCGTACATCCAAGTCGACACCACAAAGCTCAAGCGATTGTTATATGAGAAGAAAGGGAGAGGCTTACCTCTTTGCTCTTTTCAAGAAAAGCTTACCGCTTCTGCTTCTCCAGCCACCCTACGCCTCGCCACAGCACCTCCGCGTACACGCGCTGCACCTTGAACCGATCCCTCCACGACTGCAGAACCTCTGATTTTGCATTGAAGCCAGAGACTACATCAGGTATATCGTCCTCAGATGAACCTTCCCCATGTAAGTTTCCATTTCCCCCCTGCTGGTCTCTTCCTTGCAACGTGCGGTCAGAGTGGGGCTGAAGCTGCTGCCTCGCTCCTGCTACTGCTGCCATCAACATCAACTCATCCACATCCTCCTCCTCTTTTTCTACTTCCTCCTCTTCCTCGTCCACTTCCTCGTCCTCTTCCTCGTCCTCCTCCTCCTGTTCCCTCCCCTCCGCCTGCCGATTGTCCCCCTCTGCTAACCCCTCCTCGTTTCCCTTCTTCTCTCCTGTCACCCTCCACTCCTCCTGCTCTTCCCGCACCTCGTCATCACAACGAGCAGCATTTGACACGACACAATATCCATCAGTCTCCTCAGATAAACGTGCCTTCTTACCACCACCCCGTTCCACCTCCCCTTCCATCCTCCCTCCTCCCACATCTTGCACTGCTTTCCGCTTCTCACCCGCACCGCTCCCATTCCCAATTCCACTCCTTCCTCCACCTCCACTCCCTCTCCCACTTCCTCTCCCCCTCCCCCCCTCCCCCCCTCCCTCCCACTCTGTTGCTCCCTGCCCCCCCTGCCCCTAGCCCGTCTCCTTCCTCCCATGAATCCACCCCAACAATCCTTTCCACCGTTTCCAACACCTCACACGCCTGCATCCGTACACAAATCACAGAGCAGCACCAGGGGGGACGTAGCAGGGGGAGGGGAAAGCGCCAGGAGGGAAGCACCAGAGGGGAGGGAGTAGTGGGGAAAACAGCAGATATATTTCAGGCGCCCTGAAACACCCGTATCATTGTTCCCTCTGCCATTCTTCCCAGCCCATCCCTCGAACGGACTGCACTAACCTGCTCATATGCTAAAAGCTCCTCTCGAGAGGTGAAGACCGGTGCAGAGCGGTGGCAGCGGTAGGAGGGGTAGCGACGTAAGCCAAAGTCGACCAGCAGAAAGGTGGTGAGGGATTGGGAGGAGTTGAGGAAGAAGAGACGCTGGGAGGGGGGAGGGGAAGCAGGGGGGTATTTGGGTGAGAGGATAGGAGGTGTGAACAGGAAGGGATGGGTCATGTCATAAGGCCCACAGGTAGAACGGTGGTGAGGGATTGGGAGGAGTTGAGGAGGAAGAGCCGCTGGGGGGGGGAACAGAAGGGGACAAACGAGTAGTATGACGCAAGGGGTGAGAGAATAAGGCCGAATAGCAACAGAAGGGGTGAGAGAATAAGGCCGAATAGCAACGGAAGCTTCATGAAGGCACGTTTTGAGGCGCCTAAAAACTAGAAGGGGACGAACGAGTAGTATGACGCAAGGGGTGAGAGAAAAAGGCCGAATAGCAACGGAAGCTTCGTGAAGGCACGGGCTAAATTATGTTGAGGGACGAGGGGATTGATTGGAGTCAAGGAGCATGAGACATATCTTAAGTGCTGCTTTTAACAAACGCTTTGGTAAACACAAGTTTTTCATAGCCCTGTTGGAAGGATTATCCACCTGCACTCGGGCAAGAAGGCGGGTGATGAGAGGGGAGATGCGGAGGCACGGACTCCAAAAGCAGGGACGCGGAGGCAAAGACGCGGAGGGTGTCTGAGGTGCGTCAAAAGCATTGCTCTCCCCCTATCTAGGCTTGGTTACATGCATGTCACTTACGAAAATACGTGAAAGGAAGGACTACCTACCAGCACTCGGGCAAGAAGGCGGGTGATGCAAGGGGAGATGCGGAGGCAGGGACCAGAGAGGGCGTTTGAGGTGCGTCAAAATCATTGCTCCCCACCTATCTAGGCTTGGTTAGATGCATGTCAGTTATGAGAATACGTGAAAGGAAGGACTACCCACCTGTACTCGGGCAAGAAGGCGGGTGATGCGAGGGGAGATGCGGAGGCAGGGACCAGAGATAGCGAGGATGGCGCGTGAGAGCTTGTGCCTGGAAGGGGAGGGGAAGTTGAGGCGAAAGGGGGTGGTGGTTGAGGGGTTGGGGTTGAGGGATGGGGGATGGGAGGTGGAGAGGGCTTGCGTTGCACCAGCAGGGGAGGGAGGGGAGGGGGGATAAGAGCGCTAGGTCGGTACAGCTGCATGTGGAATGATGTGACTTTTGAGTCGACTGGAAAGAATGAGGGGGTCGGTACAACTGCACGTGGAATGAGGAAGGTCCAGTTGTACTGACCCTTGAATTTTTAGGCGCCTCAAAAATCACCAGCAGGGGAGGGAGAGGAGGGGGGATACGAGGGCGGGGTCGTTACAACTGCATGTGGAATGAAGTGACTTCTTGAGTCGACTCCAGGTGACCTTTGAGTCGACTCCAGGTGACTTTTGAGTCGACTCCAGGTGACTTTTGAGTCGACTCCAGGTGACTTAGAGTCAAGTCAAGGTGACTTCCGAGTCGACTCAAACGAATGAGGGGGTCGGTACAACTACACGTGGAATGGGGAAGGGGCAGTTGTACTGACCCCGACCTCTTATCCTTTCTCCTGGAGTGGGTGACTCAACAGGGTGGTGGGGCTGTTCGCACCTGAGCGTGTTGGTGCAGTGTGAGGCTGACGTGGTGTGCTGTGATTGGTTGCTGCTGCTGCTGCTGTTGCTGGTAAGAGCTTGCACTAGGAGTCTGACAAGGGCCTCCTTTCTGCTTGAACGGATGACTGCCTTTTCCTGGTGCAGGGGAGGGAGGCGTGCGTGTGGAAACAGAAAGACTGATTCTGAGTTGACTGAGAAACCAAAAGTCAGCTTGCTGTCTGTAAGGGCTTGCACTTTAAGTCTGACAGGGGCCTCGTTTTAGCTTGAACGAATGACTGCCTTTTTTGAAACGTCTCAAAACTACTTGTAAGAATAATAGTTTTGAGATGTCACAAAACTGACAAGGGCCTCGTTCTAGCTTGAACGAATGACTGCCTTTTCTTTCTGCTGAAAGGGACGGGCTGTTTGCACGGAAACATGAAGACGAAAGGAAGTAACAATGTTCATGAGGTTGCTTATACTCACAATGCAAGCGCAGTCACAGAATACAGAGTCACAGTGTACGCAGTAACGCAGTCACTGCAGACATGGTCACGGACGGACCTGGAGGTTGATCGATAGGGCGAGGGAGCACAGGTGGTGCAAGGGAAGCAGGCGGTGAGTCACTGCCACTGCAGCCTCGAGGGACAGGAGCGTGCCTCTGGTGGCAGCAGTGGGACTCAAGGCCGAGCCTTTACCACCCGGTGCTGTCACCCTCAGATCTGATGCTGCTCACAAACAGTGCACCTCTTGATTGTTTGAACACACACGAAGTGAGCAGGCCAGCCCGCCTGAAGGTGGAGAAACCCACCTAGGGAGGAGAGCAACGGACCTGGAGGTTGAAGGAGAGAGCGAGGGAGCGCAGGTGGTGCAAGGGCAGCAGGCGGTGAGTCACTGCCACTGCAGCCTCCAGGGACAGCAGCTTGTTTCCGGGAGCACTCACGGCTGTGCCTGTTGCACCCGGCGCTGTCACTCTGAGACCTTCCGCTGCTTCTCACAAACCTCGCACCACTTGAACACACAAGAAGAGAGCAGCCCAGCACACCCAGAGAGTGAAAGGACCCACCTGAGGAGGAGAGCGAAACGGACCTGGAGGTTGAAGGAGAGAGCGAGGGAGTGCAGGTGGCGCAAGGGCAGCAGGCGGTGAGTCACTGCCACTGCTGCCTCCAGCGACAGTATGGCTCCTCCGGTTAGAGAATCAGGGGTGGTGGAGCTGGAGTGAGTGAAGCCATTCGTGTAATTCAGGGGTTCCTCTGCTGCTGCTGCTGCTGCTGTTGCTGCTTCTGCCTCGTGCAACAGCATGGCTCCTCCGGGAATAGAATCAGGGCTCGATTGAGGTTCTCTGTGGTTGTACGAGGGTGTGACTGTAAGGAGCGCTGCATCTGACTCTCTCAAAGACGGAGACGGCGGTTCCTCTTCCAGCCCAGACTCGCACCATTCCAGTGCTGGAAAAACAGAGCGAGCGATCAAGAGAGAGGGTTAGAGACAGAGGGTTAGAGAGAGTGCAGGTGGTGTGAAGGAAAACGACTCTAAAGGGTGGTTGGGTGATTGGGGTGCATGATGATAGCGAATATGCAACAAACACCAAACATGCAGAAAGCTTAGATCTTGTAGCAACGGACCGTAAAGGGACTGCACAGCCGAGTGAAGAGCACCAACTGCCGAAGCTTCTCTCTCCTCCGCTGCTGCTGCCGCCTCTGCTTCTGTTGTTGCTGCTCTTGCTGCTGTTGCTACCGTCACTTCCGTTCCTGTGCCCATGGCATCTCCTGCTGCTACTGCTTCTCCCGATGTTTCCCTCTCTCCCAACGGTGCCCGTATCAGCCCTGAATCACAGCAGGCCTTGGCGGTCGTAGCAGTAGGGTTGGAAGGAAGCTTGCATGGGGAGTCTTGAAGGTATTTGACAAGGGAGGAGAGGAGGAACCAGGGGCCTGGCAGGGTGATGGGTGCAGGGGGTGGAAAGATTTTGACGCTCCATAATACTGCAACAGGTGGTGGGATCACCAGATGTGTTAGGCTTCTAGACCTGTATGGGGAGTCGAGAAGGTACTTGACAAGGGAGAAGAGGAGGAACCAGGGGCCTGGCAGGGTGGTGGGTGCAGGGGGGGGAAAGATTTTGACGCTCCATAATACTGCAACAGGTGGTGGGATCACCAGATGTGTTAGGCTTCTAGACCTGTATGGGGAGTCGAGAAGGTACTTGACAAGGGAGGAGAGGAGGAACCAGGGGCCTGGCAGGGTGGTGGGTGCAGGGGGAGTGGAGAAGCGGAGAAAGAGAGGTGGTAGCAGTCGCATTCAAATAAGGAACACTCGTGAATTGTGCAAACGGTTTAAGGCAAGGGAGGAGAGGAGGAACCATGGGGGTGGAAGCGCGATGGGTGTCGATGGAAGTGGGGAAGGGGAGAACGAAAGGTAGCAGCAGTAGAGTTGCCAGACATGGGTATGGTTACCTTTTCAAAGAAATATTCGGACTAAGACATACTGAGCTGGTGGCTTGTGAGTCGACTCAAAAGTCGCCTCATTACAATGGAACCCTTGCAAATGAACAGGTTATCAGGCATTGTTATCCGTACCTTTTCGGAGAAAGATTCGGACGAAGACATACTGAGCTGGTGGAGGGAGCACCTGGAAGGCTCCTGGAAGGTACCAGGGACGACAACAGTAGGGACAAGAGTAGGGTCAAGGGTAGGAACGAGTCAAGGGTTGAGTTGAGGGTAGAAGTGAAGGACAACGGGTGTAGACACGATACAGTAGTAGAAGGGAAACAAGAGGTGTGTGTGTATGCGGTGCACTATGTCTGGAACGTTTGTGACAGAACGAGAGACATGACCCCTCCATCCATCCATCCGACAATCCATGCATCCACCAACATACCCAGAACCTCTTTTCTTTCCCTCCAGACACGTACCCAACAGCTCCCTCTCCTCGGGTTTAAAAAAAAAGGTGCCCATCTGATTCCAAAACAGTGCTCAGCATCAAGAAAAACTTCCTCACACGCATCTTCCCTACCCTTTCTCACCTTATCCACATGCCCAGCACCGTTTTCCATCCATTGACACCCATGACCACCGCTTTCCCTGCACACACGTACCCAACAGCTCCCTCTCCTCGGGGAGAAAGAGGTGTCCATCTGATCCCAGCACAGTGCTCAGCATAAGGCTAAAGTTCCTCACTCTCATCTCCCCTACTCCTCCCCACCCTTCATTATCCCCTCCTCCTCCATCCCCTTCCACCTCCCCTACTCCACCCCCATCTTCCCTTCCTGCATGCCGTGTCACAACACCATGCTTCTCCACCAAATCAGCTCTCTGGGTGCGCACGTGCTTTTGGTCTAGTGACGTGGCATCTATGACAAACTGCCACGTGGAGAAAAATGAACTTTTGGAAGAGGAAGGCCTGCAGGGGTCTGCTACTTCTGAGGCGTTGGTTGGAAGAGAATCGCTGAGTGCGTCTGGGGAAGATGTGTGGATGATTGGTGGTTCTGAGGTGGGATGAAGGCTGAGTGTCTCTGGATAAGGTGTGTGGGCGAGCGGAGTAATTTCGACACGGATGCGGGCAAGAGGGGAGGATGGGGTAGAAGTGACAACGCCCTGGAGTAACAGAACACGGGAAAAACAAACAAACAAACAAACAACACGGACGGACAATCACAGTCAATAAGGAGGAGAAAGTAGGTGATTGTGTTGCTGCGAGAAGGGAGGATGCGGTAGAGGTGACAGCGCCCTGGACTGGAACAAAAGCTTGCCTCTACCCTGGAACAAAAGAACACCGACAAACACTATGTTGGTCCACGATTGGAGAGGATGAGGTCCTTACATCACAAACACTCACCTCAAACCTGACATCACTATGTTGGTCCATGACTGGAGCCAAAACCTGAGCCACTGCTCTTGATAAATGACCGATCGCTTCCCCCATCGCCACTTGCTTCCCCCTTGTCCCTGGTGTCATGGGTTGCCCTGACGTTCCTGCTTGGACCTTTGTTGATCGGCTTGTTGGTGATTGCTTCTCTGAAGTGCCTACTCTCCCCCCTATCCCTTTTCCTCTTGCATTCATCCTCCCGCTTCCTCTCTTTTTTCCTCGCGTTCCCTTAGCACCAATGCTATCTTTCCCCTTTCCGCTTGGACTCCCCCTTCCTCTCCCTCCTCTTCCTGCAGTTTCCCACCATCTCGCTTTGCTCCTCTCTACAATCACATCCTCGCCTCTGCTGCTCTGCCTGCCTCCATTGGCCGATCCGTCGTCCGGTACAGTCACCACCTGATAGGAGAACGCGTACCCAAGAGATAGATTGAAGATGATTACGTTTTGCCTGTACAGAACGAGAACAAATCCCTCGCTACAACATTTTTAAATTTCTGTCCTTTCAGTGTGACACTTTGGTCAGCCAGAGAAAGCATGCAACTGCATCTTCTTCAGACTTACATTGCTTGCAGCAACGCAAATGGTGTTCATACTCGGACCTATCCAATATATACTTCTGCTGGATTCATCCCAAAACCTTCTCCGAGCAATACATTACAGATTACATTCTATAAAACTTTTATCAATGTTCCTATCTGCACGTTTGATCGCGCTTTGCCTAGCAGTTCCGCTCCTATCCCCAAGAGACGGGGTTCCCAACCGTCGTTAGAATCTAACGTCACACTCCTGCTGACGGCACCCGTAGTCCTGACGTGACACTACCACTGACGTTACATTCCCTAAGGTCATTCAAAGGTCATTCCCTAAGCTCACTTGAACGGCGTTTCCGTCTGCCAGGTTGAATCGCTCCCTCACTAATACCACTCGCATTCCCGCGTTGCACGGCACACGCGCATGGAACCGCCTTCCTACAACCCAGGTGGTGAGGCTCGGGTACAGCTCCATTCCAAGGCTGAAAACTTGCTTCGGTAAATTAGTGGTCTCTAGAATCGACCTTTCTACTCTTCACTGTTTGAATGGTTGAGGTGGAAGACTGGATATCACCAGCAGTGTCGCATTCTGGAAATACTTCACCGCAACTCAACAGAACCAAGCAAGGTCCAAACATTCACGAGACCATGAGCGGTTTGTATACAATTATGTTCGGTTAAGTGAGGTCTCCAGGAAAATGACCACTTCTGAGGCCACTGAAAATGACATGCCCCGAAACACAGCAACCAGATCAGCACGCAAGAAAGGAGGAGGCGTCATGCTGACGACTGGCGTAGCGAGGCGGATGATTGGGAGGGAGAGTTGGGTTGGGGGAAGCGAGAGGAGGTGGCGGAGTGGGGTGGGGGAATGCGGTGCGGAACCGGGAGGACGGGAAAGTCGAGGGGAATACTGAGGCTCGCGGGGAGGGGAGGACACCGAGGTTGTCTGCGAAAGATGTCGTAGCAGGCGGACTCGAGTAGTTCGGTTGAGTTGCCTCGCTTCATTGTTGAGGTATTTATTCGACTTACACAGACGATCCTGATCCAACACATTGTGTAGCAGCAATTTATTTAGTAAGAACACCAACTTGCACAAGTTTGGGGGACAATTCTTGGTTCCTTATAGCTACACCGTATTCCACAACAGTTTCACGACGTATTGCATTGACAAGTCTACTTCACGGCATATGGATTAATTTTCCCGTTGGGGTTAATCAGCGCTGCAGCAGCTGTTTCTGAAGAATCATGCACCTCCATCAACATCCAGTCCTCCACCTCTCCCTGCAAAACAGAACACAAATAAGACATTAGGGCGAATTATAATGAAACAAGGCATGCAGCAGATAACACGGGTAGGCAACCAACCAACGGATGACAATAAAAGTAGCCCACGAATGCCCATGTGACACGTGGATCATGTGTACCTGTCCTCGCCGCAGCAGCACTGGACTGTCACCAGTCATATCCACCACTGTGGATGGCTCTGGCATGCGAGCACCCCCATCCACAATGAAATCCACGCCCTGCAACCAAATAAGGGAAGGGGATATTTTGAAAAAAGACGGAATTACTTGGTGACCCGCAGCTTAACTGACACGTACAGAACCGCAACTTGCAGGGACGTCAAGGGGGTAAGGCCAGAGATAGTTGCAAGTTCATACATAACAGTATAGGAGAATGAAAAGAATCTGGACAAGCACGTCCTCATTTTAAGCTCACTCACCTCTGACCCATCTTCAGAGCGGTAGGTGAGTCCAACCACTGAGGGGTCCAGCAACCAGCGTTCGTCTGAGCTCTTGGTGGCGCTGTGGATTTGAAAGGGGGAGAAGAGAGACGGGGGAGAAGACAGCAGTGAAGAACGGTAGGTGAGTCCGACCACTGAGGGGTCCAGCAACCAGCGTTCATCAGAGCATTTGGTGGCGCTGTGGAATCCAAGGGAGAGAAGAGAGACGGATGAGACGAGAACGATGAAGACAGAGGTGAAGAGCCGTTGAGTCCGGCCACTGAGGGGTCCGGCAACCAGCGTTCGTCTGAGCTTTTAGTGGCGCTGTGGAACCCATGGGAGAGAAGAGGGTCCCGGGAGACAAGAGTGGTATGATGCTGAGACTAGAATCAAGAACCGGCTCATAAGTCGCTGACAGCCCTCCTGCGTGATGGACGGAGCAACCAGCAAAGTTTGGAACTCGCAACCAGCAAAATTTGAAACTCTTTGTGGCGGTGCGGAGTCAGGGGGGGAGAGGGAGGGACGGGGGGTGGCGGAGAGGGGGGAGACGACGGAACAGAAAGTCACAGAAGGAAATCATTTTAGTGAGCATGCCAGCTGACCTGGTGCAGAGGAGATGGTCGTCCAGCAGCTCGAGAAGTGCATGGCAGACCGGGTCCAAAGGCATCCTCACCCCCACGCTCTTCCTCCGCACACAGTGCTCTTAGGTTAAGGTTTGAACATCTCTCGGATAGGTCATTGCTTTGGAGCATAGAATCTAACCTGGTGCAGAGGAGAGGGTCGTCCAGCAGCTCGAGCAGTGAGTGGCAAACAGGGTCGAGGGGCATCCTCACCCCCACGCTCTTCCTCGGCGCGCAGTGCGCCACCGCACTGCCGCCAAACGTGGTGCATTGTTTCGGCATGGCCTTGCTCGCCTTGAGAATGAACGTGTACTGATGGAGGGAAGGCCGAGCGGATGCAGGAGAAAGGGACGGGAAAGGAGGAATGGAAGGGCGAGCGGAGACTGAGTGGGGTAAACTACTTCGGCATGGCCGTGCTCGCCTTGAGAAAAAACGTGTACTGGAGGCAGGATGAGGGTTGGGGGAGATGGATGTGGGAGAGGGAGAGATGGTGGGTAAACATTGGTATATGAGAGTGGTGCACTGGCAGTGTTTTCACATGGCATGATGAACTTGGAGGAAGGGAATGGAAACAATCGATACCCAGGTACAACGTTGGCATACAACGTACAGGTCCAGGAAGGCATTGTCGGGCAGCCCGGAAAATGTTTGTCTGCCCATGGCCATTGCCGCGAGGAAAGCCCAACGTATAGGTGTCAATGTCTTGGAAGTTGCGGCAGAGGATACTCAGAGGCTGCAAGATAACGAGTGTGAAGGAAATTAGAGGGTAGAGTGGAGAACAAGGTCATCAGTTACAAAGAAATGTGTGGCTGCAGGGAAAGAAGAAGAAAAACACCAACTATACCTTTTTGGGGTCCAACTGCTTGATACTGCAAAGAGACGAGAAACAAGAAAACGATTTGCGCAGGAAATCAAGTTAGAATATGACCACATGAATTCATGCACGAGCTGTCACATAGTATCAGCCAAACAAAACGAGTGAGAAACAGGAGGATGGCTTCAACAACCGCATCATCAGACAGGACAACAAATCCTGACGCAAGAAATTCGTGCCTCATCGCGTATGGAACATTACGAGCTGAAATAGTCAAGGATGTGGGAGAACATGCAGAGGACATTGAGAGTTGGTTGATGCGTTGTAAGAGCCTATCAGTGAGTCAAGTGCGTACCGGTAGAGTCTGTCAATGGCATCTCGGTTCTTGACGTCACACACCAGGGCATATCTGCACGTATAGGTGGAAGCAACACGTTGCAAGGGTACACGAAGCGAAGGATTGGCGGTGTGAGGAAGGCAACCAGCCCAAACAGCACCGATTGGGTTCATGCTTTCAACTCATATCCAATGGGTTTCGTTCAACGGGATTCCGTGGCTCTTGCACGACCCCCCCCGCAACCTCCCCCACCAGTACCCCACCCGTCCTCGTATCTCTTTGTTTCACTCCGTCACACTAGGCCTCCACACTCACACAATCAACCCACACATTGCATGCTAACCCTGCCCACACCCCACCCCATCGCACACCACCACATTCCACCACACAGGCAGGATGATCGGCTCACACAGTGTCAGTCGGGATGAGCCCAACGGCGCCTTCCTTGATCAGATCTGCAATTCCCCGAAGCTTCCAGGAAGCATCGGATCCTGACGGGTCAACGGTCACCACATCCACGTCGTTGGCCTAACATCCGCACCCAGCGGAAAACAAGAACACATATACACGCTGTGTTAACACAAATAAAATAGGGGGTTCATCACACCAAGTACCACAATCTTCATAACCCTACATGGTCTACGTTGCGTCTTCCAGTGTAAACGAGCTCGCGTTACCAATGTTTCAGCATGCACAACTTTTGAGGTGTCTTAACAGCTACACAATATAACTATCTTCTTCAGTCAGGCAAGCTGGTCGGCTTCCAACCTCTCGTACGGTCTCAACAGTTATTCGTTCTGTTCCTCCATGCTCCCCTGACCTCCCCTGACTCTTTCGCCAACCCCTTAACCAAGTGGCCTCATTCGCAGCTTTCGTGCATTCTGAGCGGGAAAATCGCACATACCTGGCGTGAGCCTCCCGCATATTTGAGTCGCTTCGGGTTCCTCTTCATACTCGCGGAGACGAGGACCGGTGTTGCTCTGGGCTTGTTAGAAGCAAGCGAGTTTACTCTTAACGGGGTAAGGCGAGAGCC